CATACATTATACACCACCAAGGGGTGCACTGGAAAACCATCAAGCAATGCTTGCACAGTTGCCATCTGCCCTTCGTACTTGTAGTGCACAATGTTGTCATTGAGTTATGTTGCTACACAAACTAGGGCTGGGTCGACTCCCAAGCTGAGAACTGGGAGGCCTTGTCTATGGTAGACACAGCACTTCTGTCAACCAAGGACAAGGAGATGGCCTATAAAAACGAGCCAAGGTGCCAGTCCTCCCATCTTTCTTTTATGTTTCCAATATTTGTCACTGCACTTGAGGAGGTTAAAGGCAAAATGACTCAGAGCAGATGTTTCTAGGAATTGCTACACATTTTCCCACCATCTTTTCTGCTTTGTGTTAAGAAAAAGGGCATGAAGAATGTCCAGACATGACAGTGCAACGAGACAAAGTTCTCTCAGCCATCTACGAAAGTGCTCTCGGTTCCCATTTCAGGGCAAGACGAAATCAAATATTGAGCAAAGTCAATCTGTATCTGGAACCTTTTAATAAATAAAAGTCAGTGCAGACAACTTGGCTCTTTCCATCTCTTGTTTTGCCGAGAATTGCTGATCTTGGCCGGCAGCCAGATAGGATTTGAAACAGCCAAGACATTACATTGAACTCTCAGAACTGAAAGCCTTATAAATCCTCCACAATACCATGGAGTAATTTTGTACTAGTTTAGACTTTGGAGTGCTGAAAGCTTTATGAAAAATACTTACTGTGCATGTTCAGTAGCTAGTGTACCTTTACCATTTTGTAACTTCAACTATTCCCAGAGGAATGATTGTACAGTAAGAGATAAATAGCCATGCCAGTGACTCTTAACCTTTGGTCTTCCAGAAGTTTTGGATTTCAACTCTCAGAATCCCTGCTCTTCGGCCATCCAGACTGGATTTTTTCTGGGAGCTGAAGCCCAATGCATCTGGGAACTAAAGACTGAGGTCCACCGACATGTCCACTAAGATATTAAAGGGTGTAAAGAGCCAGTGTAGTGGACAGAGCATCAGACTAGGATGTAGAAGACTGGGGTTCCAATCCCCACTCACCTATAGAAACTAACTGGGGGTAGCACTGGTAAAACTATTCCTTAAATGTTTCACATATCTTGGAGACCCAAGGAGAGTCACTGTAAGTCAGAATCAACTTGAATATGGACACAGAGATTTATTTTTACTTGCTGAAAGTTAAGCTTCATGTCTGCTATAGTGGTTATTGGGGGGATCCAATGAACAAAATCTTTATCTCAGTAACAACAATGGACATTTTAAGACCAATCTCATTTAAGATTACAAACTATTGAGGCTGGGAACAAGGATCTCAAGGCCCATTTTTCTTCAGCAATGTCTGCTCCAACAAACTCCTGGGGATGAAGCTTCAAAGACCCATCAAAGGGCAAATCCATCAATTGCCCTATATAATAATCTAGCCCTAAGGAATTAAATATATAAATGACAGTCACTAGATCTGAATCTTGTAATAAGGGAAGTCTCCACTGACGGCATGCTAATTTTATGAACGTAACTTTCTGGAATACTACAGGCAGGTTGCAAAAACAAAAACACATGTGGGATGTGTTTGGCATCAGCATAAATGGTGCATCTATGTATCCTCCAGAGCCAAATGATAGAAACAAGAGGAAGAAAAATTCAGGGCAAAGAACAGGAGAGATCCTGAAAGCACCAACACTCTTCTCTTATGGATAACCTCCCCCCTCCTAATTCTAACTTTTGAGACATAAACGGAAAGCAGTAGTTCTTTACCATAACCAAGGTTACAAAATGTTTTCTCCTTAGAATGGGGTGAAAAAAGCACACCAAGAACAGTCTGAAACTCCAGAAGGTGATACTGACCACAAACACTAATTTGAGGTCATCTGCAATGGGAGAGAAATACCACCTGCCCTAAAAATCCTCATCTGCCAAGTTTGGGTGGAGGAGTATGAATCCCGAACCTTCAAGACAGTCCAATTCTTATACATACAAGTCAATCTTCTACTTTCATCCATAGAGCTATGTGTTATATGATGTCTAACACATCAGCCTTTTCATCTTCCAAACACTTGAATGCAATGATTAATGTGTGCATATTATATTGCATAAATTGGCCTAGAAACCAGAAGCTGATGACTTCCAGAGTAGGGAAACGTAACTGTTGCCTTCAAGACAAAACAATATTTTCAGATACATAAGAATACTGGCTAGCAAAGAAAGAAATGCAGAGAAGAAGAATACTGCCACCTACTGATTCTTAAAGGAGGCCAACATGAAAACCATCCCAAACAGATGGCTTCTTTACAGGATTACCTGAAACTCGCAACAAACACGAACTTGTTTGAGCCATGGCTTTGTTTATACAAATCAAAGGGTGAACCAAAGGTTGAAGCAAAAGAAAAACAAGGCCAGGAACTTCTGCATGACTGAGGATTTCTTCCTTGTCTGCTTCAGCCTGGACTAATCCCATGAAAATAATACCATGTTGTCATAGGTAGAAAGTCACCCAAACGAGCAGACAATTCATGCCAAAACAACACAGTTTATCTAATGTAACAAAGCCTAACTGAGCTGGTTCACTGAGGATAACCACTTCTAATTAATTTCCACATACCCACTAAGATAGCACTTTTATTAGGGCAATCAAAGAGGCACAGAAAGTGTTAAAAGCACAAATAAATATGCAATCTTTTGAGAGAACATTTTCATCAGGCAGATGTAAAAAGCAATGAAATCAAATCTTGTTGCATCACCTCCTATAGCTAAATGTGGACAACAAGGACTTAAAGAACTCACTTTCCACTCGCCCTTCTTCCATTCTGCTTACTCCTCACATCTGCCTGATAAAGAGGCTTTCACGGAAGCCTGCACAGCTGTTTATATTTTTACACACTTTCTGTGCCTTTTCGGTTGGACTAATCAAGGCTATTACCTATGAATGTATTTGAGAATTTGATGTATTTGAGAATACAGCTATCAGTTCTAACGTGGAAAACAGTATCCTGAATCTTATAAAACAGGTTCTAGGAATGTTCTTCCTCCCACATAATTCATGAGCAAAATCAATTTTATGGAATATTGAATTACAGACTACTCTGTCTGGAAAAACATACTAGAAATTCCTTGGATTAGCAACCAATTAAAACCTAATCAAAAGAAGCTTCGTCAGGACTAACCAAAGATAAGACATTCTTCAGAACAGGGGAGAGTAATGCTTTGACCCTCCTGATATCTTGGACCTCACCTCCTATAAGCCCTACCTATCATAAGAAAGCAATACGGGGGAACTGGATAAAAGATTATAGGAGCTGAAGTTCAAAACAACTGGAAGTTCAAAGGTTTTCCATCCTTGGCTGATGAAGAGGTGGACAACTTTGGAGGGTCCAGGGAAGGGGGCATTTCTTGACATTCCCCAGATCTCAGGGAGAGCAAGGTCAACAAAGAAATATTAGGAGGATATAGCAAACTAGTTAAATCTAAATAACAATGGTTTTTGATTATTATTTTTTAATTAAAGGAGTTGTTTCAGAAATATAACTAGGAGTCCTATCAGATTTCAGTGATTACTGGTGAAATATTATGGCAAAGTCTTAGGAACCAAAATGATCTGTTCTTTTCTCCAAGTAAAGTGACAGCATTTTAAAAGAAAAAAAGAAGAATGAGAACTCAAAATATTTTTAAAGTATACAGTAAAGGTAATTCAGAACTAGGTATTTGAGTCACTCAAGATCCCCTGTAAATTCAACTGTGATTTCCCATTCTGCCAAGCCTGGCTCATCTATTAGTTACACTAAATTTCAGAGGTACTCTGCAGCAGCAAGGCTTCTCACTGCTTCTAAAATCCTAGGAAATCCAATGCATCCTGCCTATGTTGAGGGAGGATGAAGGTTAATGATGACAGAAATTTGGCTAACCAGTAGGAAGACCAGAAAAAGTAAACAAGGTCAAGCAAACAGGTACAGATACTGGCAACAGGAACAAATGACTTCACAGGTCTTGAAGGTTTGTGTGAACCTACCATAAGACTAGCAGACCCTATTCCATTCTGCAGAATGGATTAACATCTGGAGCCTACAAACTACTGTACCACAAGGGAAATGCAAAGGAATAGAAGTCCCAATATTAATACTAACCCTCCTTGCCTGTTGCCGCCACAAGAGCTGCTATTGGTCTTTGTGTTGCTATAATTTGTATATCCCATCCCTCCTGGCTACTCTTTTGCCTGAGCAGAATCTTTCAGATTATACCATCTTTCAATCACCTTTTCTAGTCCTCATGGTGGTATTACCCTGACCCCACCTCTCCCCTTGACAAGAGAAGAAAAATGCATTAGAAAGTTAAGAATTCTGAAAGCAGGGGCAGGGTGTCAAAATTTGCAATCTAGGAAAAATTCATGAAGAAACAAGTGCTGAAATTAAGAAACATTATGTGTAATTTGCCTAAGTGCCGCTGCTTATTTCACATATAGGATCTGGTATATTTATGTAAAGACACTGGAAAATTAGTAAACATTCTTTAATGAAGGGATGAGTTTCAGTGTCACATCCTCCCCCTAAAGACTCTGGGAAGTCTCCGAGGAAGCTCAGAATCCTGTATTCAGGAATCTGATGGTAGTTTGTGAGGAAAACAGAGCAGCTGAAGTAATTTAACGTTTCAGTGCAGGCCCACCATGAACCTCTTCCAAGAACAATTCCAGAAATCTCTTTTGTTCTAATAGGCTGATATAGAGAAGGTAAGAAAAATATTTCTCTCCTGCATACTGGTCAACACATGAATGTAACCCTGGTCTGAATGTTCAGGATTTAAACCCTTGGTCAGGAACAATTCAATTCCTACATTTTGCTCCTTCAACAATGCATCTCACCAGGAACCAAAATGGCTCCTATACACCTAAGAGGTAGTTTCTGTTAAGAAGATAAAAGCAGCTATACTGGATCAGCCTATTTCGCCCAGCATCTTGTTTCCCACAGTGGCAAACCAATGCTACTCAGTTCCTTCTGGTCAGCCTTATCCTAATATCACTGTGACACACAAATTCAATTCAGAGATTGCATGGGCTAGCTGCCTAACAAAGTTACTCCAACACCATTAATTTTCCAGTTGTACTACTTAATTTACTCACCAGCTGTACATAGGCAACTTTGTAGTCTGGCTTTTTGATTCGACAGTTTTTGTAGTCCCTCATCCTCATTGATCCTGTTAAAGAGATGGTTGGCCTTAAATCCTCATTAATGAAAAACTCTTCCTTTCCTAATTGATTGTTTCGTCACTTACAGTCAGCTTTGGACTTTTATGAAGTCCACCTTTGTAAAAGACGAAAATGTATTTCAAAAAAAATAGAATTTTAGTCATTCTAATAGAATTCATTAGACTAACCATACTGTATCCTGGTTCTTACAGATGCAACAGGCACGTTGTAGATGTTTTCAAGGTAATCTTTCACTTCCACTTTTGTCATCCTGTGTCAAATGTAAAGAAATAATTAAAACAGAAACACATTTTCATTTTAAACTGCTAAAATAACTACCCCAACTTCACTATCGATACCATGTTTCCCCAAAAATAATACAGGGTCTTATATTAATTTTTGCTCCAAAAAACGCATTAGGGCTTATTTTCGGGGATGTTTTATTTGTTTTCTTGTACAACCATCGACATTTATTCAAATACAGTCATGTCATCTTCTTCTGGTTGCTGCACAGCAGTGGAGGGCGGGGTTTCACTTAACTGAGGCTTATTTGGGGAGTAGGGCTTATATTATGAGCATCTGGAAAATACTAGGGCTTATTTTCAGGTTAGGGCTTATTTTGGGTGAAACAGGGTACTACTGCACGAGATGGGGAAAACTGTTTTATTAACAGAAATGAAGGCAAAATGTTACTCCACACAAACCTGTGTGACCTGTTGGGGGTTCTACCAATCTAAGAGGAACTAATTAGACCATCCAGGATGTGGCTGAATTTTACACATACACACTCTCTCACACACTCAGCTTCACATTTCAAATTTCATCTGTTCCTGGAGGCTCAAGCAGTGGGGCCCAGATACTTACGTTGGTCTATAAGGTGACTGCCAAAGTGCTGAGTGCCTACTGATCTGGGGCCCTCAACTTGAGTGTGGAATATCCCAACAACTGCCTCCACACTGCAATGAGCCTGCCAAACAACCATACTGCAGTTTTGGAGTAGACCTCTCATCAGGATCCCCTCCCGTCAAGTGTACAACAGGCAATCAACCGTGAGAAGGTTTTTGCCTAAATCTGACCCTAGCACTGCCTGGTTTTAGACATGCAGCAAAGACATTTTTTCTTAAGCCGAGCATTTTAGATTTACTCATTGGGACTGCACTGCTCTCCTATTATTTTAGACTGCTGTTGCTTGTTTTAGTGTGGGCTGTTTTAGAATCTGGAATAATATTGTCTTCTCTTCCTTTCTGCAACTGGGATGTTGTTTTGCCGATTTTTTTCATGATACTGTTTTGTTTAGAGTATGCCACCTTGAATACTTCTGCGGGAAGGCACGGCAGAAACCAAACAATAACAACCAAAAGTCCCAGAGCAACCATTCCAAGCACAACATGATACAGGAATTCAGGCAGCAGTTCCTGCAGTAGGTCCAGGACATCTGCTATAATATGACTTCAGAGCAAACTTTAGCCACTTTTTAAGAACAGCCATGGGCAAAAGAATCACACTGATTAAAATAGCATTGACTGTGTTTACTTTCAGTACACTATCGTCATTGGCAGTAGCTATTGGCACTTCCGAAAACAGACTTGTGACCTGGAAAACAAAAGTCCGTGTCCTTGTTAGCTTTTGCTAAGGCTTTCTGCAAACCTATTTACTTTGAAATCGGTGGCTTCCTTCCAAGAAAACACACTCACAATTTCATTAGAAGATTCAGAAGAATGATACTCATTCCTCCTGCTGCTTGGTGAAAAATCTTTGAAAATAGGCATTTTAAGAGCTAACAGAAACTCATGGAACCCTCTAGCACAGTGGTTCTTAACCTTGGCTTACTCAGGTGTTTTTGAACTGCAACTGGTGGTGAAGGCTTCTGGGAGTTGCAGTACAAAAACACCTGAGTAACCCAAGGTTAAGAACCACCGCTCTAGCAGACACCAAACATCCATGTAAAGAACTGTAACTGAAAGTGTGATGCTTATTAATTGAAATAATGGAGCCATATGTTTATGTTATATGCCTACATTAAGTACAGAAATGGACAGTTCCTTTTCCCTGCAACTCCTAGAATACTTTGGCCAAGATGGTGAGTGATACGCTCTGAAGTAAGACCTCTCCCATCATTTGTCAACTCTCTAGACTCAAAGACAACTGTTGTTATTTTTCTGAGACACTATTATTTGTTTAATTCAGTGACCAGCATTCTGCTATTCTGGATGCAGACCTGCCAAGGGGGCTAAAAATAAACACTCTCTACTATATGTGTAAATATATAAAGAGATGAATAAATTTATATGTGTGCATTGAGGCTTTATATCCTGCATTTCGTCATCAAGACACTTAACACAAATTTCAAGTCTTGTTTCTGGCAGGGAAGAAGGAAAAACCAGCTCCTTAGAACTGCTCCTTCTCCAATTCATCAATGAGGACAAAATGGTTTTCAGCCCAGTAGCAATGCTTTTTCTAGAAGTCAACAGGTAGCCCTAATCCGGTATGTATTATTTCCCACTTCAACCTCTAGAAACCTCCAGACAAGTTCTGCTCTCTCTAATGGCCTCATCTCCAAGACCCATCTGTTGCTAATCATGGGTTGAAGCCCAAAGGAATTCCTTTCCTGACTCTCCTCTGCAAGGAAGTGGGACTGAAGCCAGGCCTCCTAACTTGCTTGGTGGGACCTCCCACCGCCCCAGGTTTTGGCTCAGTACGCAACAACATCAGGATGCATGAGCATGCATCTGACACATGTAGTGAATAGAATCTACTGGTTAGTTACAACCATGTAAATACAGCAACGTAACATTCACTGGTGAATTCCCACTAGTTAACAAGTTGCTGTTTGTTTGCCATTCACCTGTCATAAGTTGGCACATGACAAGGAATACTTGCAGCAACTAGGTCACCAGTGACGATTCACCACTGCAATTTGAAATGCTGCACTTTTATCAATATAACTAATCACATGTGGTCCTGGAGGAGGCTCTTGAGAGTCCCCTGGACTGCAAGGAGAACAAACCTATCCATTCTAAAGGAAATCAACCGTGAGTGCTCACTGGAAGGACAGATCCTGAAGCTGAGGCTCCAATACTTTGGCCATCTTATGAGAAGACTCCCTGGAAAAGACCCTGATGTTAGGAAAGTGTGAAGGAAAGAGGAGAAGGGGACGACAGAGGATGAGATGGTTGGACAGTGACATTGAAGCAACCAACATGACTTTGACCAAACTCTGGGAGGCAGTGGAAGACAGGAAGGCCTGGCGTGCTCTAGTCCATGGGGTCATGAAGAGACGGACACAACTAAACGACTAAACAACAACAAATCACAAGGATTCTGGCCAGCAAGTTCTGCTTACAAACCACATCAAATTTCTCATCCTTTGCCTTCTATTCTGTGCCATATTAGAAAAAATATGAGTGGACAGTGTCCCTTGTGAAAACCCTATGGTTTATTGTAAGCAAAATTAAACCTTTTCAAGCTTTAGCTCCTAAAGCAATTACTTCCTTTATAAACTCTACCTTCCAAAGAGTTAGCAATATAACCAGAAATAAATGTGTCCTATTAATGGTCGTGGTGGTGGGGAGCTTCCATCTGTTACAAAGTATTTATGTCAGGGATAGATAGGAAGGAAAGTAACCAAGTTCTCTTTAAGAAACTCTCTTTCTCTCTGAGGGCAGAAAATGTTCTGCAGGAACTAAGAATCTGAGTACTTCAGAATAGCTTTCCCAACCTATGAAGCAGAGAAGATCCACTGATTTGAGGTTGAAGCAAAAGACAGTGGAGGATTTTAGCAGCCCTTTGATACTGTGGATGACTCCGCAGGAAAAGCCAGGCATAAGCTATTTCTTCACACTACAGATGCCCTGGGCTCAGCATACTTACTTATTGATGGCAAGGCAGCTGAAAGAGGTTGATCACATTATCTCTTGTTTGAACAAGCAAAACTGCTCTCCCCCCCCCCCAACAGCTGAAAGAGGTTGATCACATTACCTCTTGTTTGAACAAGCAAAACTTCTCTTCCCCCCCCCCCCATCTACTTACTCCATAGGGATGCGGAATTGCACAGTGTCTTCTGACAGTGGAACTCCAGGCCTCACCAATGTCAAGAAGTAATCTGTCCGGAAAACCCTCAGTTGAGGATTGCCAAACTGGTACAGGGGATAACTATAAGCAAAGAAAGCAAATCACATTTTTTAAAAATTGAAGTTCTTACACAAACTACTATGGATGTGGTTATTACCATGACACAGGAATCAGAACTGCTAGATAGTTCAGTGGTTTAGGCACCTGGTTGCAGAGCTAGAGGTTGGGAGTTTGATTCCCCACTGTGCCTCTCTGACAGGGGTTGGACTTGATGAACCAGAAGGTTCCTTCCATCTCTGCAGTTGTAAGGTTGTTGTTGTTAGAACTAACATAAATATGTTAAGCCTTATGTAGACATTCAAAGAAAGATAACAATAAATTAAAAGGAATACATAGTCTGAAATACTGTTTGTAGTGCAAGCCAAATCATAACTTTCAGTCCATTCCTACCCAGTAAATAAAGCATCCCACCCCCAATTCTAAGCCAATGTGCATGTACATTCTCAAGAACCCATAGTAAGGAGATCTTGTTTACCTGGGAGAAATGGACATAGTTATCATTTGGTTTATGTTTAGAACAGGGTTTCAGCCACTGTGTTCCCTCCAATCCCAAACAAGCCCAGAAAACATTTGTGTGTCATAAAAAGCCCACAGTTATTGTCAGACAGCCTAATTATCTGGTTAAATTGGTTTTCTCTTTAACTATAGCAGAATACGAAAGCAATGTGATGGAGACCCAGAAATTTGCATATTCAGCTATTTTACATACAGAATTCAGTTTCTAGTAAGAAGATATACAGTACAAGAAACACCTTGTGATAAAGTCTTCTGTTTCTTTCCCATCAACTATTTACCATATTTTCAAGAAGGAACTCTGATGCAAGCCAGTTTCCTTCTGAATCACAAGGAAGCTGTGATAGCAGTGTCCAAATAAAACTGTTGGTAATGGCAACATATAGGCAGTCAGGATGGGTCTGATCTATGTCAAATTGATTTTAGTCACTTCTAAGAAAGTGACACTTCCAGTGTGCCCTTGGGAAAGAGGTAAGGGCTGGACTTGGTCTACACAAAGATGCAGATAGACACATTAAAGGAATCTGCAGCACTCAAGAAAAACCACTGCAAGCAATCCTGGAGATTCTGAAAAGGGTTCCAAAAATTTCCAACATAATACTGACACAGAAAAGGCTGCAGGAATAACAGCATTTAGAGTTGGAAAATAGGACTGAACACATTGGTTACTTCTCATTTCCACATACTATTAATTCATGAAGACGCAAACCGATTCTAAGAAATTCAGATTACCCTAAGGATACCTACTAGACTGGGTGCTAATGGAGATAGAAAGATGAACATAATCCATCCATGCAAAAGCTACAAAATTTCACAACATGCACAATCCATGTTAGCACTTATTTAGAAAACATTTTAGAAAATATTATTTGAATACATTAACCAAAATCAATGACAATTTGGTGAGTCAGCTTGGCCATAAATTCCATTAATTTAACGCAGCCTACTCTAACTAGGGGTACTAAGTAAGTCACAGTTAAGAGTAGGCCCATTTGAATCAATGGAACTTAGAATCATAGAATAGTGAAGCTGGAAGGGGCCAATAAGGCCATCAAGTCCAGCCTCCTGCTCAGTGCAGGAATACAGAAGCACTGACTCACCAAACCCCCATTGATTCCATGGGCTGACTCTAGTACAATTTACAACACTAAGTAGCAGGATTCTGACCACTAGCTCATAATATGAAAGCAGAATTTTTAATCTTTATCTTGCAATGAAATCTTTGACCTATAGTACATGTTAAATTAAAGTGATCACATAAAACTTTAAAAAAAACCCAATTAGCAATAACTTTTAAAATGCTGACAAACTAAAAAGTATAATTTAACTACATTTAGACAGAACGATCACATGCATGAGTCTTAGTGGGCCACAATTTTAAACACAGCTGCAACTGCATTGCACTAATGAATTGTTTTTATATGCTGTCAAGTCACCTCCGACTTCTGGCAACCCTAGGAATGAGCAACCTCCAAAATGTCCTGTCCTCTACAGCTTTGCTCAGCTCTTGCAAACTCAAGCCTGTGGTTTCCTTTAGGACAGTGGTTCCCAACCTTGAGTGTCCAGATGTTCCTGGACTACAACTCCCAGAAATCCTGGCCAACACAGCTAGTGGTGAAGGCTTCTGGGAGTTTTTTGCCCAAGAACATCCAGACACGCAAAGCAGGGAACCACTGTTTCCAGGAGTCAGTCCCTAGGAACTTATTAAATCAATGCTAATTAAAGTCTCACTGATTCCAGTGGGTTGATCTAGCTGAGACAAAAAAAAGGGATGGAGTCCTAAACTAGCTTCGCCTTTCCAACCTGGGGAACAAGAAATCTCTGGAAAAGGAAATGCACTGTTGATTCTGCTCATAAACATCTCTCAATGGATTTTTTTTTAAAAAAACGCAATTTAAACTTTTCATCTCCATGTTGTTTTGTAATTAATTAAGGCTATTTTCGAACGAAGTGGGAAAGGCCTAAACCCCACGGCGGCGGCAGCAGGCAGGTGTCATGCCCTGCCTGGAGGACGTCGGGTCAAACTCGAACCCGAGAGCCTCCCTCGTGGGTCTTGTGCCTCATCGGCTCTCTACGACCCCCCCCCGGAACCAGGATCGCCCACCGGAGTCCATAAGGAAAGCCAAGCCAAGCCAAGCCAAGCCAAGCCGACCCGAGGAGGGAGTTGCACCGCGTGCAAAAACAAGGCACTCCTTCCTCCTCTCCCGCCGCCCGACTCACAACATTCGCCTAGCCATGACGCCAGCCCCGCTCCATCAGCAACCGCACTTCTTCCGGAAGAAAAAAAAAGGGACATCCGGTTCAAGAAGAAGACTATAGAGATAGGGTGAAAAAATAGACTCATGATGTCGTTGCGCCGAGAGCGAAAACTTTTCGGTCCCTTTCGATTCGGAGGCGTGAAAACCATGCAAATATTCTTGGACTGCAACTCCCATCAGCGCTGCGCTGCACAGCCAATGGTGAGGGAGAAAGGAGAGTTGGAAGCCAACAACATCTGGAGGGTCAGAGGTTGGCCATTCCTACCTTAGATCCTCTTCTGCCTGGAGTTTGACAAGTTACTTTTAAGAAGAACGATACAGGAATTCAAGCAGCAGAAAAAAAAAGGAATATTAAGTCAATGTCCTTTCATTTGGGACGTTGCCTTTTGCTGATCCTGGTTGCGCAATGGGCACTGTACAACCGTTTGTCCAACAAGATTGGGAAGGAGAACATTCTGATCCACACCTACCCGTCTCTGACCTGAGTCAAGTCTCCAGACTGAGTTTTAGTTTCAGAAGAGGATCCTGGTACTTGTATCTGGCCTTTTTTTTTTTTTTTGAGGGGGGGCAATGTTGTGCTAATTGGATCCTAGCTCACATCAAGCCTGAACTATCTCTGGGGGAAAAAATGTTGAAACTAAGGCTGCTCTATTTTGGCCACATCATGAGAAGGCAGGATTTTATGGAAATGATGGAAAGATGGACGCCAGCAAGAAAAGAAGAGAACCAAATATGAGATGGACTGACTTTCTAAAATTAGAGGCCATGGGCTTGAGTCTGCAAGGGTTGAGCAAAGGACATTTTGGAGATCATTCATTCATAGGGTCCCCATCAGTTAGAGGTGACTTGGTGGCACATAAACAACAGGTATCACCCACCTTTCTCTTCAGACAATGAGTATTATGCTTAAACATTTTGTTTGTTTTTATTATTTGCACCCCACCTTCCTGCCCAAAAGGATCCAAGGAAGTTTACAAAATTAAAACAGACCACATTACAAGCTAAAAAAAAAATGCAATGAACTGTTTCAAAATTAAAAAGCAATTAAACAAATATCCCATTCAAAGTAGTTCATAAAAATCTGAAAACAATTTTTTAGAGCACATTGAGGGGAAAAAAGACAACAGCCCGTTTTAAAAGCCCATAGACAGCCAGTTACTGAGAAAAAGCCTTAATGGAGAGAAAAGTCTTTGTCTGCTTGCAGAAGGACAGCAAAGAATCTGGCCTCCTGTGGGAGGGAGTTCCAGAGTCCGGGAGTAGCGACGGAAAAAAAATCTCTCCCCTGTCCTCACCAAAAGCACAAGTGAGGGTGGCAGGATTGAAAGATAGACCACCTCTGATGATCTTAAAACGCAGGCAGGCTTATGGTGATACAGTATTTCAGGCAGTTTGGACGCAAGTTGTTTTTGGAGCTTTACAGTATACCGCTGCCCCTTGGAAAGCTTTTCCTTGGGAAAGGAGTCGGTAGAAGACAGTTGTGTGGCAGTGCCTCCCCACTCCCTACAAAATGTAGCAGGAAAGAGGAGGAACTGAGCCTTTACTCCAGTCTTATTTGACGTGGAGAATGTAAGAGCCATTTTAAACGTTCTTAACAGGTAAAAATGCCACTGAGGTGCGGCTCCGTTATCTGACGAAGTGGGCGTGTCCACGAAAGCTCATATTAAAATATAATAGTCTTCAAGGTGCCACGGGTTTTTGTCTTGTTTTGTTTCTTCGGATTTTGTCTGATACGCCTGCACCGACTAACGCGGCTACTTCTTCCGAAACGACAATCCCCTGCACCGTATCAGAGGAGCTCGTACGCCGTGGTTTGGGAGGGAAAGGGAGAGAAGAGGCGATGCCACCGCCCTGCTGTGCCGCCGCCGCCGGCAGTGGTTCTTAACCTTGGGTTACTCAGGGGTTTTTGAACTGCAACTCCCAGAAACCCCAGCCAGCACAGTTGGTGGTGAAGGCTTCTGGGAGTTGCAGTCCAAAAACACCTGACTAACCCGAGGTTAAGAACCACTGGTTTAGGTAACACGCAGGCATATTCGGCACTGCCGCCAGTCCTTCCTACTGAACATCATCCCTCCGTTGCAGCCAAGGCTAGTCTTGCTCCATTACTTCCTCGGATCCCTTTTTGTACCTCAAAGGCAGGGCTTAACAGCACGCAACCCCCGAGGTTTCAAATATCCAAGAACTGTTAGGGTACAGCTTAGAACAGTTAACTTTTCTGAATTTCCAGAACAGATCACTGAGATTCTGGGAGCTGTAGTGCAGAAAAAACAAAAAAGGCAACGTTTTCACTTTCTGTTTCCGAGCGAGGACGCGCCGTTCCAGGAAATCTTGGGTGTAAATTCATCGCTTTCTGTCAAGCCTCCCAACCAAAAAAAAAAAAAAAGGCGCGAGAAGAATCTCGGAAGTTGGACTACGCATGGTAATAAATTATAAACCTATGAAGAAAAGCCGCTTACCTTTATACACTCCCTAAGGTTTTCTTAATAACGTTTACTTAACGTTCTTCCCACTCAGAGCACCATAGAGATTTGGAGGTGAGATCAACGGAGCTCGGAAGTAAGAGCTACACTCACGGTGGTCTTTCTCTATAGGCGAAAGGCCTCTGCCTATAGGCGCAGTGCTAAGAAAGCAGGCGGTATCGCCCTCCTCAGGACAGGGAGGCTTATCAGATCCAATGGGCATCACTCTCTTCCCAAGAATCAAGGAGTGGGGGTGGGGGGGTGCGAAATACAGCAACTAAAGCTAGAAAGTCAGCCAAAGCTGGGCAATAATTAAGCAAATCCATCCGTTTCTAATGACAATATATCCAGCCCTATATGCTCAGAACGATCTACGTCAGGTTGCAAGGCGTCAGGGCTCTGGCGGAAGTCCCAGGGCAGTGCTAGGCTTTTCCAGGCAGGGATTGTTAGAGTCAGTATTTAGTAGTTTTGATAATCAGCAGATCTAGTTCCCATCAATGCATTCTGATAGTCTTCGCCCAACAGACTTGCCAATATGCTTTCTATATGAACTACTTGAAGTTCAGGTTGAAGAATCCCACTGCAAGTCAATGCAGCTCTCTAGCCTTTCCAAAAGAGACTTGTGTGCCAATATGTGTTACAAGTACAGTAATAGCACTCAGAAAGCACCAAACATTCATATTGGAGTGGTCACTCTCCTTCGTTTCGATATCTTCCATATGTTTGGCCACCAAAATGTGCTTCTGTGAAGGAAGACATTTCATAAACATATCCGTCAAAACGATGCAGAGTTCCCCGCTGTCCTTGTCTATGGTGGAAGAGCCCTCCTTTCCCCCTCTAACAGGCATGGTAGCTGAGCAGATTTTGCCTTTATCAGCATTATCTTCAACTGCAATTTTACTTATTTTTCCCCTGTAGGAATTGATACACATATAGGAGGCTGTTTTGCATTAGACCAGCAATGGCAAACCTGCGGCACACGTGCCACAGCTGGCACGCAGAGCCCTTTCTGTGGACATGCGAGCCATAAGTCACCGGATTGCTACTTCCCCCCCCCCAGCCAAGCCTGCAGAGGTGGTGGGAGCTGCAGTGCTGGCGCTTTGACAGCCGGTGGGGCAGGATCCGGAGCAGCTGGCACTGGCGGCAGATCTGGAGTGGGGTCTCGAGGCACCTCCATGCCCAAAATTCCCTCTTCTGCTGCTACTTCCGGTTCCGCCTCCATGGCCCACTGCCTACTGGTTTGTTTTCCTTCCCCCCCCCCCTCAATTTGGGCACTCAAGCCCAAAAAGGTTCGCCATCACTGGGTTAGACTATTCACATCTGAGCTTCAGACATAGGTTTTCCAGTCATCTGCTCATTCTTTTTACTGGATATGTCAGGGACTGAACCTCAGCATCCAAGATCTTCAGTTATGCCTACTCAAGTGGAAGAGGCTCCCCACTGCAGACTTTCAATCCCCAATACTGTATATAGATTCCTGCAGTAACAATGATGGGACCTAAATGGGAGGGACTAATCTTCTTTACTCTCCTTTTCAGGTGATGATAATCACAAGGGGAGGAAGGATGCTTGATTGAATGAGACATCTAGTGGCCACTAGTTTGGGGAGGGCTGGTGTAATCCAGTGTATGGCTGAAGTTTATAGAATTTTTGTGCAAAAAATAATTAGGCTTGATATTGCTGTAGGTTCCTAATGATGAATCAGAGGATGTTAATTAATGTTATCTTGAGAGAGCTGCTGTGGCAAAAAGAATTTCGTAGACCCATCTTTTTTGAGGTGGGAAGTGCACACCTAAAGGATTCTTTTCCCTGTCTGGGCAAGATACTGTGTTGGACAGAAAGGAAAAAAAGAAGACAGCAAATTGTGCCATGAAGAGTTGGAAATAGATAACTAGGAAAGGTATCAGAAAACTGTCAATATCATAATGCCTTTATACTGTACACATGTATGATACAACCAGATTTTGAATTTTCTGAATGGTTGTGAATATTTTACCTCAAAAAAAAAACATTGTTGGGCTTCAAAAGGTGACTAAAGTTATGAAGGGGATGGCAATACTCCCTAGTGACCAAAAGTTAAAAGATGGAGTACCATTTTGTTTCAGAAAAAGGAGTCATGGTAGAACTGCAGAAACAAGGGACAGTGTAGAGAAAGTCAATAGTAATAACAATACTTTGGGTCATCCAGTAAAGTGGAATTATGGGATACAAAACAGACAAAATGAAGTACTTTACACTATGGACAAAGACGATGGCATTTCCTGCCACAAGGTATAGTGGTGGCCATCCACTTGACAGCTTTAAAACAGAATGAAATTAATCCAAAGATCGAAAACGTTAATTTGTTTTTTGGACTACAACTTCCAGAATGCCCCAGCCAACTTCATCCCTTTCTATGCTCACTGTCATATTTTGAGAGCTGTAATCCAAATCAGTAACATTTATCTTCTCTTGAACAATTCATTGAAGACAAGGCTTTCAATGGCTACTAATCATACTGCCTATATATTACGGCTCCAACTTTTCCAAAGGTCATTTTTAGCTGGACAGCTGCAATTCTAGGTATGTTTAGTTTGCATAGAGTGTGGTGTGTCTTACTGTTGGGTAAACTAGCACAGAAGCACAGAATAAGTTGTCTCTTAAACCTTGTTCAGTCTTTGCTGGGTATAAATCTGAAAATATTTATTCAAAGGACATTTTACTCAATATTATCCATTGTTGGGGTTGCTGAACTCCGGGTCTTTGGTGAAAGAAAAACTCTGAGTCAATGCTAATAGAAGATAAGGAAGATTGACTAGTCATGAGCAGTATGGCTGAAGTATATTATCGATCACACTTTATTTACAAAACCATAGGATTTGTACACTGCGATCTATGGGGCAGCGTAGGGTTAGGAAAATAAAGGACACACGAAGCAGCTAATAAAAGGTGTCAGCAGGGAGTCATCTCTATTCCAGGGCAATGGTTCTGGATGATGTGAGAGCCCTTGAAAGAAGCAGTAGATAATCCAGGCTGATGTTGCAGCTATGGGTTTGCTCAGGCAAAGGAATGGAATTCACGTTGCAAGAGGAAAAGAGAGGCCAACAACGTTTCGCCATGCCACCGCTGATGATTCTGCCTGCAGGCACCTTCTGGATCTTTACTTCCAGCGTCCTCCAACTTTGCCCTTGGCTCCAGCCTTCTTGCTGCTGTAATACAAATATTGGGGTGGGGGGGTGATACAACAGTTCAGTGCACCTGCCACTGCCATGCTCTTTCCAAACCTTGACTTCTGCATTTCAGTAAAGAAATTTAAAATTTCAGGTTGTTAGAACAGAGCTGATCTGCTATCCCTACAGCTGGGCTGGGGGACCAACATTCGAGTGGGTGAAGCAAAGTCCAGTGTGCTGTTTTCTTACAGGCATCAGAGTTTTGTCTTAAGATGCAGCCAGCTGGCCATTTGTGCACCAGATCTAGCCCGCAAAGTAATATTATCTTGCCTCCAGGGGCCCTAGACCAGATGTGTTGTAATTAACATACAGTACACAAAACTAGCCTAGAGGATCACACACTTGCCAGAAATGAAGCCCCTCTCCTTTATGAAAATCCCCCTCACAGAATGTTACACATAGTGCAATAGTATAACTCAGAACAGGGAACCTCTTTTTCCTAGATTGTGCCAACTTTATTATGCAATCTGATCAACCATGAAGGGGGTTGTGTTGCAGAGCAAAATGCACTTCAAATTCCTGCACCACTCTGTCCCAGAGTATCTCCAGGGATGAGAAGTTGTCCATTCTTGGCTGAAATCATTAATACGAACTATGTGCAGAAATTGACCCCAATTACATAGCGTGCTTACTACATATGATGGTTCACACAGCACTATTCTTCAGAGTTTCACTGGGAGCAACAATCTAATTATTTTATGATAATTAATTTCATGGGGAATAAAAATATTATCCTAGAATTCTTTGCCTATGATTCAAATAATTTCTTAATCGCTTGACTTTCCATGCAAATGAAACACCACTCAAATCATGCATGCCACTTACCTTGCTGCTTGAGTTATGTAAATAAGTGAGTAAAGTTAGTCTCATGTTAAGGTTTCTTCACTGTGGCACCAACAAGAACAGAATCGCCCTGCAGTGCAAATGTTTGCACACTATGTATCCCTGGATGGTTCTACAAATTGCCCAGTGAGCCAACCTGGATTAGTAGCCAGGAGTTTGTGGTCTGGGGCTTAGAAGAATACATCCTTCTCAGGTAACTTGTAATAGAGATACATCCAGGGAATAGGGGACGTGTTCCAGTGCAACAGCAATAAGGTGTATCTTTTAACACTTACATGGTTTCCAACACCAGTGGATTTATACATCTGTAGCTTTACGTACGAAATGACTTATAGTGAAATGCATACATGCACGCGCGCACACATACAGAGTGCTTACTTTACCTGTCAGTTAATTTAGGACACTCTGTCCTGAAACAACCTTAGACATGAGAGACAAGCCACTGCCACACCTTTCACAGAGAACAGAGACACCCTAGTCCTGTCCTTTTGTGCTCCCATATGCCTATGCAACAAACAATGTTTATTGCATTGACTCTGCACTCCTGTAGCAGGGAAATTTTGTATGCTTTCTTTTGAGTGCATCTTCACTATACTTGGGATTAGGCTGATTGGCTTCATGAAGCTCAAGGTCTTCTACACCTATCTCAGTTCTGTCATGCTGGCCTTATTCACACTGGGTCCCCTATTACGTACATTCAAACACAGTATAAAAGGCCTTAGGGTATATTTCAGAATGGTCACACATGCTTTTTGCAGAACTGTCCTTTGAGTTACAGTGGAAGGCTATCTTTTATGCAAAATGTCACAACTTCCTAAACACAGATTTTAAACCTCATGCTGGTGCCCTTTTATTTTTAAAATCTGGGTAACACCAGCCTCCCTTATCTTGTCTAGATATTCCTTATCTTGTCTAGATAAGGTATGGTTTTTAAAAATAATAGTTATTATGTGCCAACAAGCTGGTTCTGATTTATAATGACCCTTTTCAAGCTTTTCTAGGTATGAAATATTCAGAAGTGGTTTACCGTCCTTTATCCTGGGGGTGTCCTGGGATTGCACATCTGGGGAATTGAACTGAGAGGGCAGCTTAGGGCAATGCCCCACTATTTAAATTTCTTAAACTCAAAATGAAATATAGTAATGTAAAGCAAACAAAACCCCACAAATAGGCATGTCTTGGTTATTTGCTTTTCTCTTGGTGAGGAAGTATGCTGTGCTTTAGTTGATTACAAGCAGTTACAGCCAGCAGGCACCTTTCCTTCGATTGAGCATAGAAAAACACAGTGCCTGCTCATCATTCAGTATGGTATTGTGCTAAAATAAAGCAAAACAAAGTTATGTTTTGCCCCTGTCTCTCTGTTCCTATCCACTGAACTGCATGATTCAAGAGACTTGGACATGGAGAATCACAGCAGCTGGTAACTTTTCCTTTCTACTTGCACAACGATAGAATCTGAACTCTTCCTTTTTGTTTGACTACTGCATCGCTTCCCTCTGGCCTCCATCTCTCTGATGAATTAGGTGTTTCTTAGCAGACACATGCAACAGTAAGGACACAGAACAAAACAAGCAGGAAAGAATTTGAATTAGACAGCAGTAAGACAGGGGAGGAAAATAGGAAAGTCATATGACTTGCTGAAAAGAACCCATTGGCCACAACCACATGTTGCACACAGCATGTGGTGGGGCAAAACTGGATATGATTAGTGCTGTAAAATCTTCTTCTTTCCAATCTCAGAAGCTGTGGAACCCCTTTGATAAATCTCCCTCTTCTTTTTTTTCCTCATACATCTACCAGTACAAAGACTGATATATTTAGAGGTGAGCTTTGCTGAGATTGGTGGAAGAGAAGTAGGTTCTTTTGCACAGTAGCTATGGATTCACTTCAGTTTCAACAGAATTTTCTTAATGGAAAGCAGTGGCCCAGAAAAGGTCCGCCTGCCTTTCTACTTTCACTAAGAAAACTAGGGAAGAAGACTGAAGTGACTGCTGCCACTATGTGGGCGGATTTTCTGGACATTGAGGCCAGGAAAAGCATTGGGGTACTCACTGTTTCTGGGCCTGATCAATCCGGTTCCTGAGGGTAGTGATCTGCAAACAATACACATGACCAAATTTTCAAAAGTGATCTCATTTCCCTTAGTGGAGGGAAGGCTTTTACCTGGCAGAAGAGTTGCTATATGCAGCTGGGTGAAATCCTGAGGTCTTTCTCTCTTTTTCAACTGAGAGACACAGACATTGCTAACTGGCAGTAAATTCACCAGAAAAGGTGTTATTTTTGGGACACAACTGGTTGAGTAAGTTGGATGCAAGAAAGACTGTTGATTCTATCCCCAAGGGTTGGAAAAATTTGTTACTTTTGATTAGTCCTAATAAAAAATATTAGGATGCTGTCCTTTTAAGAAATCAATTAATTGCTGTATGTGTATGTGTCATTTCTATTTCTTCATAGTCCAATTTGCAGTCTCACTCATCATCTTTGCTGGAGATTTACCAGCCAGTTAGCAAACATTGATTTAGAAGACAAAGATTGACCTGTTGTTGTTGACGAAGACCTGAAAATAAAAAAAACCCTCTGAAGCTAGATATTTAGCTACTTAGGTTTGCTCAGCAGAAATTAGTTTCTGGATGTCTCCTGCCAGTTCCTGCATTAGAAACATAAAGGCCATGTTGACAGCCATTCCAGGGAACTCAGTCATCCTCAGAGGGGTGTGGAGCACTGCATTTGCAAAGAGAAACTGGAATTGTTGGGTACCATGGAAGCAAGAGACTTCTACAAACTTATTATAGTAATGGAAATTCTCCTATATATAAGTAGCGACAATGAATACTCTTGCTGACTATTCTTGGTATATAGACGAGACCAAGAGCTCTTCATATGTCATCCCAGGAATACAATGCCTGCTTCCTCCTCTACACAATACTTTTTGTAGTAATATATTGCATATAAAACCACAACTATGTGGACAAGGCCATTCACATGGTTCCTTCTCAACTAATTGTTGCCCAAATAGCCCTCTTTATGCCAGCTCCACTTAGCTAGCCAAGATGAGCATTCCAAAAAAGGTAAAGGAAGGAAATATTAGAGGTAGACATTATCTACCATAGAAGGAGAAGCACAGTGGAAATTCTAAATCTGTATGGCTTTCCCATTTTGGATGACAAAGATGTTGGATTTTTACTCATGACAGAAGCCAAAACTGAAATGGAAATCGAGATCAGTGGAAACTATAACATCAATATTAAACAATTGATTACAATGCTGTTTCTGCTATTCCAGTTTCTCTGGTTGCCACGTAGTGATTATTTCCCAACCCATTAGAAATGCCCTGAAAGAAAACAGATCTGGGTCCTAACAGACCTCTGCCAAATACACTGTAGTTAAAATGCTTTATTAGCCACGATCATATTCTTCTGAGCAAACTTGCAGCCCTAAAATTGATCACTCAGCAATATCATTTCTGATATTTTAAAATAAACAGTATTTAAACTAACAAGAGTTCACATCTTGACTTTGTTCGTCACCTCGGATTTTAGAGGTCTAGAAGAAACAAGAGACTGTGACAATGGAAGCAACAAGACAACATGGAAAAGGAAAGCTCAGCCACTTACTTGTGGATCGTCAAAAACTGCCTCATGAAATTGAGTTCACTAATGGCTCTTGCGTTTTCCTCTCAGACCAAATATTTGATATAGAACCAGTTTAGCTTTGCTCACCATTTTAGCTTCAGTGCTCAAGACTTACCTTGACTGCTTAAGCCTGCAGTGAGTTGAAGATAACAGGCATGGCACTCATTCTTCTGGGCCGCACAGAAAACCAAGAAATAGGCAAGCACTGAACCTTGCTTGCTTCAAAAGCCATACTTTCTTTCTGTCATTCTTTACTTTCTTGTTCAAATTGCCTTCTTTTTCTCCTTTTACTGATTTCACCCTGCTAGTAAAGGTAAAGGTTCCCCTTGACATTTAGTCCAGTCGTGTCTGACTCTAGGGTGCAGTGCTCATCCCCGTTTCCAAGCCATAGAGCCAACATTTGTCCAAAGACAGTTTCCATGGTCACATGGCCAGCACGATTAGACACGGAACACTGTTACCTTCCCACCGTGGTGGTACCTGTTTATCTACTCACATTTACATGCTTTCGAACTGCTAAGTTAGCAGGAGCTGGGACAAGCGACGGGAGCTCACTCCATTGCGTGGATTCGATCTTATGACTGCTGGTCTTCCAACCTTGCAGCACAGCTATCCTGTTACCTTGTTCATTTTTATATGCTTATTGACCTATCTCTATAGTTCTCATCAATTATGCCTTTTATGTCTATAACTCAAACTTTAAAAAAACTATATGAATTGTGTTTTATGGATCAGAGTCAATTACCATCATCTAGTTCAGTGGTAGCTGCCTTCTGGTCCTTCAGATGTTTTAGGACTCTAGCTCCCATCTGCTCCAGCCAGAATAGTAAATGGCATGGTTGGAGCTGAACATTTGCAGACCACTGATCATCCACCCTTCATTTTATCCAACTATATGTTTTAACCAGCAGCCAAACTGCTGATTCAAGGAAACTCACAAACATCACACGAAGTCAATGGTCACTGTAAACATATATTTCCAGTTCCTCAACCAGTTACTATTGTGGATTTTCCATAAGACTGTGACTTGGACAAAATAAAATGTCTCCTGAACTATGCACTGCTCCTCATCAATCTTTAATTTCCAAACATTTGCAATACTTCCCTGTATAATGTCAAGACTGCAGGCTTAATTCTGTAGAAATAGTTACATCAAAAATATTCTTTTTCTCAGAGAAATTAACTTTTTGTATATTGACTCTGTAAAGCATGTAAGTGACATAACAACTGGTTGTGTAAACCAGACTCAGTAAGGAAGGTAATGGTGCTATCTTTACATGCCATCACTCTGCTTTACTGCCATCCTCTAGTTAAGATGCCTCCTTAAACAGTCCAGAAGAACAACAGCACATGTATTCTACACTGAGTAAAGTTGCATGTCTATTCAACTGCTTTAGCCTGCTGTGATAAATTGAAGAGAGGGAAACTGAAGGCAGTCCAGCGTGCAATTTCTTGTTTTCTGTGCCAGGAACTGAGTGCCAGTCTGCTGTCCATCTGTGTGAACCTGGAGCACCCGATCTCTTGACATGCAGGAGGCTCATGCATGTAAACAGCCTTTGCTGTTCTTTGTCATTTGGGTGAACTCTTTGTACTTACAACTTGGACAGTGCCTCCACCCTGCAACGTAGTGATAAAATCTAAGAGAGATCAAGATAATTACATTGGCTTTGGGGTACTTCACAAATCCAGATGGTTGCAATATGTACTCAGGAAGAGATGAACAAGCCCAAAGAACATTTTAAGGGCTGTTGTGTGCCTGATCTAGCAGTCTATTATTTGATTTTAAATCATCTTTCCCATGGCCTACCCTCCATTAATGCATGATTCACTGCAGGCTAAAAGATACCATTGTTTCACTTGTGAAAAAAAAATCATGTTATGATTCTTACCAAATGCATATAGATGCTAAGTTCCACTAAAATTAAATACACTTCACAAATCCTGATGTTTGCTGCATGTACTCAGAAAAAGACAAACACCATAACTGCATTTTAAAGCCTTGGTCCAATTTCTAATACCAGTTAGAGTAGATCCAAGGAACCTTGTTGAATGATGAAACCCATATATATTCTGCTGATTCAGTGGGTCTACTCTAGTTGAGGGTACCAACTAGATTCTGGTCTAACATTTTACAGCCCCTGCTCTATCATGTCCTCTGAGCACAGGGTGAACTTCAGCTCTCAGAATCAGCAAGTGATCACGTCATCTAAAAAGTACATAAGCTCATTTCAAAGATTAATAAAATTAACATTCTGGTACCTGAAACAAGACTTTAAGAGACTTTTTCTTTTATCCCTTGAAGACACAGACTCTTAGGAAAACAGTGGTAGAGCAGATTTTCCTCTTTTGCTTTGTCCACTAGCTCTCCAGGGCTCAGTTTACCTACATTCATCAGCGTGAAGTATGCGCATGTATAGTTGAATGTGCATAGGGCTGATCATGTGTGATTCTACTTTGTTTTATTTACTCTATGCACATTACACCTTATAAATGTATAGCATGACTTCTTTTTCATCATGTAGATGTAAAGAAGGGCTTGTGTTTACAACTTATAGAGAAAACTGAATTATTTCAGATTTGTACATTATTATCTTTGAATACCACTTCCTTAAGTTATATGAGGAAATGGCAATTGAATATAAATTTAACAGAACGGAGTGAATTTGGGGAAATGCCAATTCAAATTTAATTTTAAAGGGCAAGGGTGTGATCAGACGGTTGTGTCATGGTATGGTTTGAGCCATTTCCTGGCAATCACACTGATATAATCACATCCAGAACATTGCTCTGTTAACTAAATTGACAAAGTATACAAAGAAATTATTTGCAAGTAATAGATAAATTTTATGAGCAATCGGCAATATTTGTTATGGAATAGAATAAGAAAGTGAAAATGGGGGAATACCCTTTTGCTTCTTATGAATTGTTACAGACATTTGTATTATTAGTTTTTTAAAAATTTTTTAAAAGGATTATTTGCCTGACATGAGGAAAACATCCAGTTATTACAGAAGATACTGTACAGGTTAGTTATCAAGACAGCAAAAGATATGATGCTGGCTTCTCTTTCTGCATAAGTACACATGAAAGAAAATCATGACTCATGAGTAAGAAAAGCAAGATAATAGGGTACAGCATTAGTCCCTGTCCACACTAATTATTTCAGTTCAGTATGGATGTAGATGGGCTTATAGGGATTCTTGGCTCCCTCTCTTGGCTTCTGTGATGAAAAAGAAAACCATGAAATTCATCAACTTTTCCATGAAAGCATTTTACAATGGTGGCAGGAAAATTCACTGATAAGGACTACAATCTTTTTTCATACTCTCTCCAGGGACATCATGGAGAAATAATTTGTTAGAAAACTGAAATCCATTCTGAGTGTATAGTTAAGAAGTTCTAGTCCTGAGTGAAAATTTAAATCCAGTTGCTAATTATTCTGGGCTACAATCAGGAGTTTTATAGGTTTGGATTACACCTCTCTGAGGAAGATAAGCAATGTCGCCTTAAACTAAGGAGCAAAATTATAACCATGGTCACTTTTTCTACTCACATCATATTTTTGTCTCTTCATCTTCTCTAAAAATTCATATTTCTCAGTTTCCAGCTGATATAACCAGTCCCACATCTCTTTTGCTTTATCCCTATTGGTATGTGAAGACAGAAAGGGAAGAAACAGGTGAATTTCACTTATATTCTGTAAACCTCAGAACATTGGTATGTCAGAAAGAAAGGTACAGTATTTATATGCTTAAACACCAACTCATTATACCAATAGACTTGGCTTTTCAAAAACGACTCACGTTCATGTAAACTAGGAGCATTATATAACCAAGAAGAAATAATGATATTGCAGCTGCTTAAGGAGCACTGCAAACACATAATCTTTTTTGTCAGAGCTTCAAAGTGTTACCAAACTACAACTCCCAGAATTTCTCCTGAAATAGCGATGTGAGAGACCTTCCCCTGCTTGGACAATAAGCTGCTGATGTTGACTTTGTGTTATTGTAGTTCATGATTCATTTTATGTCAGCTGCCTTGTAAGAGCCATGGCCTAAGTCTAATTGCACGGTCCCAACTGCAGTAGGCCAACTGAGTCAATGCGACTTATATTTGCTGAGCAACTGATTTGATGGATTTAATGTAGTAGGGACAAGCAGCAGGTTTAGGCTTATGCTTTCAGATACGAGAGAGAGAGAGAGAGAGAGAGAGAGAGAGAGAGAGAGAGAGATCCTATTTCCATTATGAGAGAGAGGGGAAAGCGTAATCTGTAGTAGGGACAAGCAGCAGGTTTAGTCTTATGCTTTCAGATACGAAAGACAGAGAGAGAGAGAGAGAGAGAGAGAGAGAGAGAGAGAGAGATCCTATTTCCATTATGAGAGGGGGGGAAAGCATAATTAATAGCAAAATTTAATTTTCTATAAACAAGGCCTTCCAAGAAATCCTGAGAAGATGGCACCAGTACTCAATTAGTACTCAAAACTAATTTCTCTTCCATACAATTCCAGACTAACATCCGTCACCAAGTGGGAGAAACGGCCTTTTACCTCAATTTGTCTTCACTAAGATGGTCAATGTTAAGGGGTTTGCGCCTCTCAGCCAGGACCTTCTTTTTCAGTTCTCTTGCAGTTTGTTTCTTTCCTCTCTTTTGATCAGCCTATGAAGAGACAAAAACCTTCTATAGCATCACAAGACTCATCTCTGCATTAATTCAAATCCTTTGAAGGAAGCATTGAGCAAGGGGTTGGAGTCAATGGCCTCATAGGCCCCTCCCAACTCTATTATTCTATTATTCTAAGTGTTTCTGCCCTATGAAGGAGAAAGTCAGATATCTGCACACACACACACACACACACACACACACACACACACACACACAGAGAGAGAGAGAGAGAGAGAGAGAGAGAGAGAGAGAGAGAGAGAGCCTGGTGAACCAAAATTTGGCCTCCCAGATATTGCTGGACTGCAACTTGTCTTGATCTTCCCTAGCCAGCAAACTCAATGATGAGGAAAGTAGCAAGCTGTCTTCCAACAACATCTGGAGAGCTGCACTTTGCCCACTCCTGCTCAAGAGGCACAGTTCTCCAGTTCTGATGCAGTTCCCCAGGAGACAATTACAAATTATTTTATTGCATGTCTAGGCTAAGCAAAGAGACCTTCCTCTTCCTCTTTTTCTTTTTTTTTTCTTGTTCCTCACAATGGCGTCCAATCTTTGATCAACTGTGTTATGTTGACAGCCCATAAGCCTCTTGTCCCTTTCTGATTCTGTATAGGAACTGCTGTGTTCACATCCATCTCCGGTGAAGAAATACTGAGGCAAGTTCCTGGAAAGTTGTCCACTATCCTGGATGGGGATTTCTCCAAGCACAACTACATTTGTGAATACAGTTTTGCTATTTGGTGAGTTGTTATTGGGTCCCTGCTTATGCAACTGGTTCAACAATTTGGTTTTTTAAGGAAATAATATCAGAAGCTGCCAGGATTCAAAATGGGAATTTTCACATCTGCCCTAAGGGGGAGAGTCCCCAAATTTTATGTTGCAGCATCTGTCTTAGCAGATAAACAGAAGAAGAGCTCCGCTGGATCAGGCCAAGGGCCCATCTAGTCCATCTTCCTGTATCTCACAGTGGCCCCACCAGATGCCTCTGGAAGCACATGAAACAACTAGATACCTGTCTCCTGATACCCCTCCCCTGCATCTGGCATTTTGAGGTACCTTCTTTTTCACCTTAGAGATTATGGCTTGTAACCTGCTATGGACATTTCTTCAAGGAATCTGTCCAATCCTCTTTTAAAAGCATCTAGGCCAGCTGCCATCACCACATCCCGTGGCAAGGAGTTCCACGGACTAACAACACACTGGGTAAAGAAACATTTTCTTTTGTCTATTCTCACCCTCCCAACACTCAATTTAAATGGATGTCCCATGGTTCTAGTATTGCATGAGACGGAAAACAGTTTTCCTCTATCCACCTTATCTATCCCCTGAATAATTTTATATGTCTCAATCATGTACCACTTCAGGTGCCTTTTCTCTAGACTAAAGAGCCCCAAACACTATAGCATTTCCTCAGTCCAGTGATCTTTCTAATTGCTTTCTTCTGCACCTTTTCCACTTCCATGATGTCTTTTTTTGAGTACTCCAGGTGTGGCCTTACCAGAGTTTTGTACAATGGCATTATAATGCTGGCTGTTTTATTTTCAGTCCCCTTCTTAATGATACCCAGGCCCTGGACTGAGCCCATTCTACAGGCCAGTTGTTTGATTCTCAAGGCAAGCAAGGCCTTTCAGGTGTCTTCCTTTTCAAGGTAGACGTGGTGGGCCCACTGCCACGTCTTCCCATTCCCATTCAGATCAACGTAGAAAGGGTGAGCATAGGTAAAGGCAGTAGCATTCACTTTGGTGCCCAACAGGGATGTGTGAATGAAGTGACTACAGAAACTGCAACCACTTCAATTTCCCAAAGAGGGACCAAGATGGGGAAGAATAGAGAGCCACTTGCCTAGAATGCTGTCAAACCTGGTGCCACCTCTACCTGGTATCACCCTACAGTTCTGGACCCACCTCACAGTGCCACCCAAGATCCAGTCCAGATGTGGAAACCAAAACAGCTGTTCCCTTAACCTTGGGAGAACTGAGACAGATGGAGAACTCCTGCATGTTATGGGAGCATATGCTGAAAAAAAAATACGAGGCATTCTTTGCAAAAATCATGGCAATTCTGCAGGGAAAATCCTTGCTTTGCAGTTCAAGTTTCTTGGATTTTTTTTTCAAGCTGAATAGACTCTCCAGCTCTTACCAAGATAGGGCAACAGGACTCCTATCAAAGAATGATTCTGTAATAGCTTATCGACTTCTAACTAGGAGGATTTTCATTGGCTTGCCAGTAACTGCATTCCCATTTCCTCAGCCAAGTGACAGCTTCACCTTAGCCAAATAGCTGCTGTATGTGGCACCCATGGAGGACAGGGCCTTCTTCTTCTTCATGTCATCTTCAGCCCTTCTCTTGGCATCTTCCTCCTCTCTTCTTGCCTTCTCCTCCTGTGGAACACACACAAAAAGCAGAAATAAATAGCATCAGAAATTGCAGGTGGGCAATAAGACAGTTGCGCTCTGTGCTTCCTTTTTGTAGAGTATACAACACAGTGAACAGTGGAAGAATGCTAGTGCTGGGAAAGTTGACCTGTTGGGTTACAGCTCTCATAATCCCAAGCCTGGATGTTGGGAGTTGTAGTTTTGTAAAGTAACTTTTCCAAACCCCAATAATTCTGTGTGAAGAAGATTGTTGCTTAAGGCATCACACCTGATTGTATAACGATATTGAGAATGAGATGTAGGGAGACTTACAGCAAGCCTGGCCTGGCGCTCTTTTTCCTTCTCGGCTCGGATTCTCTGCTGTTCAGCCCTTTCAGCTCTACGCTTCTCCTGTCCATTACACACAGAAAGAGAAGAGGCAGTGAGTAGATTAATCATGGCTAGAACAAAGGGTCTTGCCTAACATCTGCCATTGTTTCTGGGAAGAAATTGCCCCGAGACTGAATAACAATGTGTAAACAAATCAATTAAGTTGCAATCCCATAAAGATCGCAAAAATGTTACAAGGACATTAGTGTATGCTGATGTATCCCAAAATGATGGTCAGCATTTGCCTCCAAAAAAACATGTGCTTAACTTCATGATGCCACCTGATCTCTCTGAATTGACACTGACAACATGATCTTATGCCTGTAAGTCAAATGACTGACATAGAAATGAGTAGCCATACAGGGAACAAAAATTTCTTGAAAAACAAATTTATTAGGAACACAGTTGTGTGGTAATTGTTCCATGTCTACAAAAATGACAAACTTGGACCTGGATGTGACCACTCTTTAAAATTCTCTTCCCTCAGTTTTTGTTGGTGAGAAGAGATTTCTTATTATGTATTATGCCCATTACTGTGTAACTATAAGAATCTTCATAAGCAATATATTCTTTTGGAGAAGTGGAAACCATATCATAGAGACTTACAATTCTTTCTTTAAGAGCAAGGAGTTCCTCCTCTTCCTTCTTTCGGCCTTCAAAGTGAGAATCAATCAAGGCCTGAAGCTCAATCAAGTCTTTGTTCTGCCTTTTCTTTTGGATGTCCTGGAAAAATAAGACAGAAGATGTCACAGTGTCTGTGATGACACTAAAACAATGATTATATCGATCTTGTCAATATTCAATTTAATTATTTCATTTACTTCCTTAAAAACTAACCATCAACATTTCAATATATTCTCACAATTCCACTACATATAAGAATAAGCACCTATTTTCTGACATTCTCTCCAACACAACTTAGAATAATTAGCATCTATTTGATTTAATTTCACTGGAGTATAAACTAATTTATAAAACATTTCCCTTTGTCTTCATAGACATGCACTTTAATATTCTTTTATCTCATATATTCTTCACAACCTCACTACCTATTTCCTCTCCCGAATCATATTCCCATGATGTTTTAAGAAAATCTTGTTGGTCTCAGATTCTATTAATATCTTGTAAATTCTACTTATTATCCCCTTCATTTTCTTATTTTCATCTACCTTTTCCTTTTGTAATACCATATCAAGACAATGTCATTCTCATCCTCTTCCCAGGAAGGGCAGTTGAGAGTATTGACCGCGAGAGCAGCCTGGAAAGAGAAGACTAGAAACCTGGCCTTCTTGGTGGTCGCTCCCCAACTCTGGAGCAACCTCCCACTCAAAATCCACATGGCTCCTTCACTGGGAATTTTTAAATGATAACTAAAAACATGTTTTGTTTTTTTTTAACCAGGCCTACAAACAGTATTCAGGCCCATCACAAAAAAGCAACAAATGTTATGGTCAGCAAAGGACAAAAGGCACCCCCTCGCCACTGCAGGAGTATACCGGATACCTTGCAGTTGTGGCCAGGTATATATTGGGACCACAAAACACAGCATCCACACCAGAATCAAAGAACATGAAAGATACTGCAAACTAAAACAACCGGAAAAATCAGCTGAACATGCCCTGAAACAAGCTGGACATGAAATCCTATTTCAAAACACAGATGTATTTGCCAACACCAGCAATCATTATGTTAGACTATACAGGGAAGCCACTGAAATCCACAAACACCAGCACAGCTTCAACAAAAAATAAGAAAGCCTAAAACTCAACAAAGCCTGGCTCCCAGCACTGAAAAATACAGCCTGCAAAAAAGATCAAAGAACTCTACCCAGACATAAGGACCGGTGATCACTGCACAAAAAAGATTAGCTAATGATACCCACCAATCACAGTGACAGATAATCTCCCCCTTATCAAAACTATACACCCATAACAAAAGACACCCTGCTCACCACAATCACCCAATCTCCTGAAAAGGACAAAAAGCTAATCCCACAGCTACAAATACTGAACTATCCCACACACTATGCCAGAACACAGACAGAGTTCTAATTCCTGTCCTCTGAAGATGCCAGCCATCTTCAGGATTTCCACCAACCTCCTGTAATTGCAAGTTTAACCATAAAAAATTATTAAACTTAGATATAAGTTCAAGCATATGTATCATTTGGTTAGCTATATAAGATAACCTTAAATTAGGAAGTTTTTTGAGATTTATACGATCTTTCTCTCTCTCTCTTTTTTTTTACTAATTCTTACTTTTTAAAATCGTCATTGTCTTAATTATATTTTACCAGTCTTTCAACTCTTCTTCAGTTATCTTCATTGAGAACGTCATCTTGGGTAAAATCTTCATTTTACATACTGTTATTCTACCAAACCATGAAATCCAATCATCCCAAAAAAAAAATCATCTAATTTATTTCTGGCTTCAATTTGTTAACGTTTTGCACTTTCAAAAGCACTAAATTCTTTGGAGTATTTATACTCAAATATTTAATAGACTTTCAAATATTAACATCATGGTTTTTTCCTAATTGTCTTCTTTTCATCTTTATCATAATTAAACACCCCTGATTTATACCAGTTTATGTGTATAATCCAGAATATTTTGTGTCCTCATTTATTTCTACTCCAAACAACTCACTTCTTTTAATAATTATGGATCTTACTCAGAAATTTTATTAGGATTTAAATGGAAGTCCTTATTTTTAAACTTCTAATTTAAAGTCATTTGAAGGTTTGGAAGGAATTGTAGAGAATTGTTGGAAGCCAGCAGTACTTACATCAAAGTCTACTTTTTCACCCTCTGGGATCTTAGGTGCAGTCAGCCTTTAAGGATGGGGCAAAGAGAAAGAATGATATATGAGTAACAGTAGTAAGCATTCTCAGAATTTGGAGTACTGCTGCTGTTAGAAAGAATTATACACATGAAAACATAATGGTGATGAAGCTTGATCAGACCTCAGTTTAAAACATCCTTTGTTTTATGATGACTTTGAACATAAGAGGTCTAAACTCAAGTGTGGTAATGCCAGTTTTAAAAAAATTCAGACTAAAATTCAGACTAAAAATGATGCACATGCAAGTTTTTTTCCCCTGGGGAAGCATACTTTTTTGGTTGGAAAGAGAGGCATTTTACTCCACCACAAGAGGGTCATTTATTTTAAATCACTTGTGAAATCAATTTATTTTAAATTGTTTTGGCATATGTGAATGCCTCTGTCAGTATAAATTGTGTCTGTGGGGTTCATCAAGTAATGGATGCCAGGATCATGAGTTCAGGCTGCAGGGAAACACTGTAGTCTGATTAAAGAGAGAAAGGTTGAATAGGGAAAAACTTTCCCTCCTTTGCAAGCCTAGCAGATGTCGGTGTTTCCAATTGCTCTGGTCTCCTGTTATTTTTGTGTCTTCCCACTCCTCAGTCCCAGCTGCCAGTTCCTCCATCCCCTCCTTCTCCACTCTGGTGTGTGTGAGAGAGGGGGTGCTGCATGGAAACCTTGCAAACTGATCTGTTTTATTTTATTTTTCTATCTGTAACATTGATCTAGCGCTATCCCACTTTGAAATAAATTTTAAAAATTAAAAATAACACCACAGCAGCAGTGGTGAGTGGCTGTGAGAGGCAGCCAGTGGGAGGGCAGGCGGGAGCAGGACAAGGCCTAAAATACAACAATTCCAAAAACCGATGTAGTCCCCTTGACTGGTATATGACACCGTTTAAAACCAGATTAAAAGTTACTATGATTTTAAACCAACCTCAAAACCCCTCAATCTATCTACTTTTCATAAAGTAACTGTATCCTAAGTCAATGTTTTTAAAAAAGAATTGCTATAGCAACACTGTAGCTAGCTCAGTAATTATGTACAGTATTTGGCTACAGAGTCAGAGGCTGGGGTTTTGATTCCTCACTGTGTCTCCTGTGAGCAGAGGGACAGCTCAGTAATTATGTATTTGGCTACAGAGCCAGAGGCTGGGGTTTTGATTCCTCACCGTGTCTCCTGTGAGCAAAGCCAGGTTTTTGTGGCCTTGGGCAATTTGCACAGTCCCAGGTTTTTGTGGCCTTGGGCAAGTTGCACAGTCCCAGGGCAAAACCAGAAGAAGAGAATGGTAAACCACTTTTATGTATTCTCTAGCCTGGAAAACCCTGGAAAGGGTTGTCATAAGTCCAAATTGAGTTGACTGCACATCGTCGTCATCATGTAAACTGCCCAGGGTGGCTTTGTAGCCAGATGGGCGGTATAGAAGTCGAAGAAATAAATAAATATTATTGCTATACTGAATATTAAATATTTCATATATTTAGCAATATATTGAACATTTGTTACTACATACTTACGTTGGTATTCTGGGTTTCTTCTCTAAATTTAACAATTCAGGAAACAAAACAAAAAAAACAAGAGAAGAAAAGATGGAGAAAGAAAATGTTAGGAAAAACAGAATCTAAGCTAATATGATTTGCAAGAACAAACGGAATGTCCAATGTACCTTAAGTAACATTCTAAAGGCACTTGGCCACACTCCTGGCAAACAGTCCTTAGCAAGTAAAACAATGTAGAAAAATGAATCAAAAGCTTGCATGAAAGTTTCAGCATAGCATCTGGAAGATAACAGTTTCCTTTAATGGGGGTGGCATGCTCTTTAAGAAGTTATTCAGTGCCAGCTCCCATCTGTGCCAGCCAGCACAGCCAATGGCCAAGGATGATGATATTTGCAGGCCAGCATCTGGAGGGTCAGAGATATTCTACTCTGGCTTTGGTGTATAGAATTCTAGTTCTCCAAACCTGGATGTCTTTTATAACCACATGCTATGCATGAATTCACAGAATTCAGTCATACAATGCACTCTGAATGATTCATTTTTGTGCAGAAATTTCAGTAATAAAAACCTCTCAGCCTACTGGCCAGATATTAATATTTTAATGCAACCCAGTCTGAAGACTTGTGAACTTTCTGCTTCTGAATTTACAAGTCAATTCATGTGAAGAATTGATTGAAAAACTGTCACCCTATCATGAGGGCAAAAGTTTTATAGTTTAATTTTCTTCTTCTATTAAGCAGTGAACTTTTTGATCTGAAATGTACAGGATGAAAATATGCCAAACAATTTTTCATGGCCATTATTCAGAAACACAGAAGTTCTATTCCCTCAACCTCTTATATTTAAAAAATGACCTCTATATTCCCTTTTTATCTTGAATCAATAAGCTAGTATATATAGGAATATATGGAAATATATACTGATTCCCTGTTCATTAAGAAATTATGTCTGTCTGTCTGTCTTTCTGTCTGTCTGCTCTATACATTTCATTCTGAACGTCATGTACCATTGGTCAAATATCCTCCTTCACCATCCCTGATCCATGTAGGCACCTTTGGGATAAATTCCATGAACATGTGGTAAGGGAAACTTAGTTTAGTGATCCTAGAATAAAAAGGAATGTTTTGGTATTTCTAGAGATGCTTCCAGACAGAGAACTCCCAATGCTAGCAGTACAAAGACATTGCTCCATCTTTTCCTTCTTTTTTTGTGGTGGGGGGAAAAAAAGAGAAGAAAGGGTGAAAAATGTGGGAGAGTTACAAACAGAAGACATTGTCCACTGGATCCCTTGTAAAATTCCAAGTGAGGACAAAAGCCTAGTCTAGAAACACTTCAGATCATGGGAAAACAAAACAGAACAAGTCAATGTTATGTGTTTCTATAACCAACAGTAAGTGTTCAAGTGCATGACAGCAAGAGAAGCAGTGTAGACACAGAGATTAAGGTTGATATTTAAAACTTGGTTGGCTGGCTTGTTTCCTTCTTCAGGAACTGGGAAAGAAAACCCCACAATCACTGTGGCAAAATCCTTTCCTCTGATGCTCCTTTCTTTATCTCTGGGTTTTATATAGCCATGCTAAGAATGACAAAATAAAAAACAAAGAACATAAGTAGAGAAAGGCATGAACCACTGGTTCAGCAGTTTGTGCTGGTTCATCTGTTGGTCCAACTGGTGTTCTGTGATTCCAAGCCCTGCCTCCTCTAGCAGGTACCCATTCAGAGGCAGTACCCAGAGGAGGCGGGGCAGGGAAGCCAGAGTGCTGCCTCTGAGTGGATGCACACCAGAGGATGCAGGGCTTAGAACCACAGAACACCTGTTGGACAACCCAGCACAAACTGACAGTTCCTGCCTATCTCTAATCCTAAGCATAAACTATCATCCTAAGCATAAACTAGCAAACTCCCCGGATATCGCAACAACAGATCAATTGACATTTACACAAAATGAGCCAAGACATCTCTCATGTGGTGATGATGGACCTTATTGCCTGTTTAAATAGCACTGTTTTCACTTGCTTCCTGAAGAAGAGAAGGGAGGGAGCTTGGTGCACATCTGCAGGCAGCGATTTCCATAATGTTGTAGCTACCATCAAGAAGGCCCAGTTCCTGGTAGACGTTTTATAGGCTTCCTTCAAGGTGGCCACCCACAACAATACAGCTTGAGATGACTGGAGGGCCTAGGTATTAGATCTTACAAAGAGACACTCGGACAAGTACCAAGGTCCCAAACCATTCAGGGCTACTACTTTGAATTTGGCATGGAAATAGACAGGAAGCTAATGGAGGTTTGCCAATAAAACAAGAAAAAAACTTGAATTTTCCCCTCAGAATCTGAAAATCGGTAAAAATGTTCTTCAGTAAAGAAAGTTCTTCTCCTCTGCTGTACTTAGTGGCTCTATTAAGAAACCTCAGGTATCCATTAGGAAACCTCAAGTGTCTAGTGAAACATCATTGGCAGAAATAAATGCCAAGATGTGAATTGACACTAAGTATTCATGAAGGATTTCCTGCCAGTTCAAATAGAAGAAGGATTTTTCTCCAAAGGCATCAAGAGAAGGAACGGTTACATGCCCTGTACCACTAATAATTATTTTCCCCAACAATCATCAGACTGAAAACTGATGCTATCTGCATTTTTAAAAAACCTGCTTGCAGGGTAGATTTGATTTAAACCAAGTTGATTTAAATCACAATTTAAATCAATTTTATTGGAAGAAAAATCATTCATTTTTTATCCACCATACTTGCATGTTAATGCAAAGATGCATTTGATGTCACATCACATGTATTTTGACCCAGAATCCATGTTCTTTGACATCTGTTGGGGATTGCCACAAATATTTGTGGTCGTAAAGGGAATATTTTGTTATGAGAAAACCTAGTTTAAGGCAAAGCAAATCCCTTTCATGAAAGGCATGAAAGGCTGTACATTTGCAGCTCTGATGATTTGGTCTGGTTCCTGGTTTTACATCAGGTAAGGATTAGAAGCAATGGGAGAAAAAGGGTGTTAGAATATACTGTTTCTCTAAATGATACCAAAATACCATCAACACTTTCTCCTTCTTCGCCAGCTGTAGATGAAATGCAAAGAAAGTAATCCAATCAATATGTTTGCAATATATATATCTTATTTTTTTCTGTTTGCCTAACTCACTATTTTCTTTGTCTCACTGTTTGTAACTTCAAGGATCTCTGGAATTGTGACTTTTCATGCTCTCTAAACACAAGAGGAAAATCAGAAGTGTGTCCAATGTGAGAAATTCCAGTGTCTGAGGATTAAATCATAAATTCCATTATTCTCCACCCAAGGACTTCTTATGTTCCTTGCACATATGCATGTGTGAATAAGTGTCATGTTTAATGGCAAAAATTCTGTTACGCTTACAGGCATAACACAATTGGCATAAAAGTCAGCAGTGAATTGCCACAAGATGTTAGGACATGCATTTGCTGTTATGTGCCAAGTCATATAACTCAGTGCTCAACAGCAAATGCATACACTAACTTCTTAACTTGTGGTAATTTGTTGCAGAGATTTGTATCAACTGTGTTGTACACAAAAACTTGGTAGGATCTGTGGCAATGTGTATTTATTTAGACTGTCAGTCTCTTGAGGCATGGACCTATTTTTGCTCCTATGAACTGTGTTACCAACAACAAATGTAAAAGGAAAAAAAGGGGGGGGGTTAAAAGCACTATAAGTACTTTCTTGATTTAATTTCCCTACAGTCTTATTGTCTGAAGTCCCACCTTCAATCATGAGTGCTGTCTCTTTATATACCTGCACCAGTGATTTGTATTCTGAGTGGGGAAAGGGTCATCCAACCATTACAGGTAAGCCACCACTGCTCAATGGACTATTCCTGTGTATCTCAAATTCTGGTTAACATGCCATGAAACTCTGTAGTCAACGAAAATTCATATTTTTAATCTTTCCAATGCTACAGGATCTGTTATCCTTGCTGCAACAGACTAACATGGCTACTCCTTTAGAAGCTCTTTATACAATACCACTGAAAAAGCCATCCCTTTGTTTTTTGCATAGGATACATTCAATAATTGTTGTAAACCACCCAGAGACCTTTAGGTAATGTAGGCGGCATATAAGTTAAATAAATAAATAAGTCAGGATAATGCAAGATATAGTTACCCTGTGAAAATAACAGTATCTCTTAATGCACTGTCCCCTCTAGTAATATCAAGGCAGTCCATCTTTTTCAAAACTCAAGATTATTACTTCATTTTAAATTTCTAAAGACTTTTTTTTCGTACTGTGAAGATTTTGATCTTTGGTTTATCCAGTCGGACTTTCCATTCATTTAACTGCATTTTTTTGGCTGTCTATCCTGCAAGGAATTTAAGGCAGCAATGTACACGGGTCTTATCCCGGCCTTCAAAACATTATGCTCACAGCAAATTACTGAAGTAGGTGAACAGAAAGGATTCATGCAGACCATCCTGTGAAAATTTGCTAGGAAAAAAAATTAGTGTTCTACAGTTGCCCAGTGGCTTCCTCACTATCTGCAAACAAAATATGTTTTTACTTTGGTTTGCAGCAACCTAGAAGAGAAAAGAAAGAAAAGAAAAATAAATTGTTGAGTGGATAGCACATACCTTCTTCATGGACTTCTTCTGGTGGAAACAAGCAGTGGTGGGAGACAGAAAATAAGAGGAAAAGAACATGTATGTAAATACTTTTGAAGTGAATGAGCTGAAAAAGGAATGGATAAAGGAAAAGGAAACTAGTTGAACAAGTAATAGAAAAATGCAGCATAGACATCCAGAAAAGCTGTGGGAATGTTAAAAAAATAAAGACCAGGTTAATATAGCTGGGAGAGGTAAAGCTGGGGAAGGTACAGTAGTCTGTAAGTTTTTGTTTGTTTGTTTGTTAATAATATTTGTTGATCTTGTTTCTTCTCTTCCAATGTCCCACTGACACACATATGTATATTTTGTGTACATGTCAGAGCTAACAGAGAACTTGGAAGTTATGCCACATACCTGGCTCAGGAGCTTCATCAGGTGAGAAGTGTCATGGAACAAGATGCAACAAAGATGGAAACAAGAGGAACATGTTAATGCAAGGTCTTTGAACTCTGCCATGAGAGTCCAGAGGATTGGGGTCAGGGGAGAGAAAAGAGAGCAGCAGGGCATATCAGTACTTAGTGGGAAAAGAAAACTAAGAGCATTAAGCACTGCAATCCTATACATACTTACCTGGAAGTTAGTCCCATTGAACTCAATGGAGCCTACTTTTGACTGAATAGGGGATGTGCAGTTAATAAGGACCTTGTAAAGGCAGCAAATGGGGAAGGTGAACAGTGACTATCAGGTGAGAGGATTAATATTGTTTATGAATCATCTATCACCACAGCCAAGAAGAATTCACCATCATGTTTATCATGTTTATCTTGACTCTGTGTGTGTGTGTGTGTGTGTAAATATGGACTACAGTGGGGTCTTGACTTGAGAACTTAATCCGTATTGGAAGGCGGTTCTCAAGTCGAAAAGTCTGTAAGTCAAGTCTCCATTGACCTACAGTGCATTGAAAACCGATTAATCCAGTAACAGGCCATTTTTGTTCCATTTTGTTTTTTTTCTGGTCTGTAAGTCAAATCTCAGTCTGCAAGTCAAACCTAAATTTTGTGGCCAGAGAAGTCTGTAACTCAAAAAGTCTGCAAGTCAAGCCGTCTGTAAGTCAAGGGTCCACTGTATGTAATAAAAACACATGGAAACCATTCAAAATACCCTCAGTTTTAGTCTCATCACATTATACGGATCAGATATCAGTAAGGGAACAAGACTGTACCTCTAGATCTCACTTCAGATCTCTACGTGTGCTTATAGAAGTGTGGCCTATGTATTATGCTGAATGCATATAGGGACAGGAACAAAGAGACTGAGTGTGACCCTGCCTGCCTCTCTGCCCATGTTTTTTGTAATAAGAACACACACACACACGCACACACGCACGCACGCACACACACACACACACACTTTCATACAGTCCTCCATTGGCTGCTCACGTAATAAAACCATATACCTTTTCTCCCTCTGTTCTAGATTTCTCTCTCTCCTTTTTGCAGACGTTTGACAGCCTCCCCCTCCCCCCGCTTACACATAAGAAATATTAAAAGGCATTATTTTCTTCGGTTACTTAATTTTAATAAAAGATGTTAAACTGGATTATTAAATCAAGAAAGTTAAAGGAGAATAGTTAAAACCGAGCAAAGTTAAGAATTATTTAATGTCACCTCCTACTTCCTAGTCCACCTTTGAATTCCTGTACACACTATCCTTTGACACAATGAAAGGAATTCAGAAGTCATGTCACATACCTGGTTCATGAACTTCTTGAGGTGGAAGGGGGAATGTCAATCGGGAAGAAGGAAAACAAGTTAGACATACAGGTTACAACCTTGCACTCTCACAAGTCAGAGTTAAAATATATAGTTTATGAATAGGTTAAAACAAAAATCAAATCAGTTATGTGTTTAAAATGAACAGGACGGAAGCAAGCATGAACAAGAAAAGAGCACTGGCATACACAAAAAGAGGGTGAGGTGGAAGAGAGACTTGCAAACAAGTATAATAATATAATAATATCAGATTACATCTCCTCGATCTACAAGTGTTAACAGAGACTACTCATGTCTTTAAAACATAATTGGCACAGGTGAAGTTCACTATCTTTTCAGATGCTGCTTTTCCTAAAAGGATATCAAGTGGGACAAAAGTTTTATTGTACAGCTAAAGGCATTTACTGTACAATACGAAGGCCAAAGTCCTGTTGCTTAGTACAGTAAGTCACACTAGAGTAGGCCCATTGAATGAGGATTTGGTGAGCCAATGCCTCCACATGGCTCATGGATTCCCATGGGCTTGCTCTGTAACTTAGGGCATGTCCAGATAGGCATTTGTCCCTGTTTGGTGCGTTGCTTGCAAATTTGTCCACCCTTTTTCCCACATGACAAGTGAATCAATTTGCCCCCTGGGCATCCCAACCCACATCTTTTTAAGCCCGTGTCAGGGGTTTCTCCTTTTTTGGCATGGTTTGGGGCACACCATTCCAAGGGTGTGCAGTCGCCAGCAACAGACTAAAATCGAGCCCTGCAACTGTCAAAACTGCTGAGACTCTTCCCGGTTTGATTTTCTGGTATCGTAAAGTGCTGGTTCAGGATATCAACAAACTAGACACTTAAGAAAGCAAAGGCTTTCTTAACATTCATTGTTAGGTTTTTTTCCCCCTCATTTTTTTTCACATGCATGTGAAAAACATTTCTTTTGTCTCCACTGGTGAGACTGGGGCATGATGGGACATTGCACATCCCTTTTCTCTGCATCTCCTGCTACTTCCCCCTGTCCCTCCCTCCCCGTCTCCAAACTTGGTGTAGCCAAAGCAGAGTGCAAAGGGCAGACAGGTTTCTGTCTGCTTTTGGCCAATGACCAGCAGCTCCCTCCCTTGTACTGCGATTTGATTTGTAGTGTTCCCCTTCCTCTCTTCCTCTGCCTGCTGCCCTTCCCTCCTATACCTGAACCCATTCACCCCGTTCCTTTCCCCCAAACTCTAGCTTTGCATAACTTGCCACTTCAGGATACCAGAATAGGGTCACTTGAGGCTGATATGCCATTTGGAGATAGGGATTGCACCACATGGCATATCAGACTTATTGAGGAGTTAAATCCCCATTGATTTAATCGGCCTAATCCAGTGCAATTTATTACACTAAGAAAAAAATTTTGGCCGCTACATATTAATTCCCCTTGTCAGAAAAGTAGAATGTGCAGTTGTCCTGTGCCATCATGTTACTTCCAGTTTATGGCAATCTGAGAGGATTCTTCAGGTAAGTGAGATGCCCAAAGAGGGATTTATAATTGCCACACATCTCCCAAGTGAGTTTCCATGGCCAAATGAAAATTTGAGCTCAAGTCTCCAGAGTCGTAGCCAATCACTTGATTCACCACACTGGCTTTTTTAGCAACTAAACTATTCATATCATTATTATGCCAAATGTGTAGGAGACCCTATACTCATAAGGGTCAGCTAACTATGCAACCTTTTAAAAAAAATAATGTCCTGGATTAATTAGGCATTCAAATTAAATTAGATTTGGTCTAATTTTTAAAGGAAAGTGTGCACAGCAGCAGGCTGTACAGCTGTAGAAAAAATATAGCATGTCCCTTGGTACTTAGAGTTTCTAGAACTCTAGTGGTTCTACATCCGTGTGTGCGTGCACATGCATATGCACACACGTGAAATGGGGGAAAGACATAACTACGAGTTTTGGGTTATGTATTTGCATGTTTTGTGTGTGTAATGTGAGTTTACATTGTGTGTGTGTGTGTGCGCATGTGCATGCGCACGTGCCTGAGAGAGTAGGAATGTGGGAAAGAATCACTCATCTGTCCTAGGGGTGCTTCTGGTGAGCAGTCCCTGGAAAATTCACAGGAAACAACTGTGGCTCAGAAAGGGTTCCTATGTCTGGTCTAATACCAGGAGTAGCTTCTGGTCCAACAAAGCAGGCACCCTTTCCCCAAATGTAGTGCCTTCCCTTGCTCAGAACACAGGTTGCCTGTGTCTAAAGACTTGTGTAGGTAACAATCCTGTGATTAACAAAATCCCATCCTTAGCAGGTTCTCAGTTGGTGAACATACAAAAGATCACTGAAGTCTATGCAAACATCCTTGTTGATACATAGCGAGTGTCTGCTCTGTATTTAACTTGACTGTTTTTATGCCTGATGTTACCCTTTGCTAGTTTAAAGAGACAAACCATTTATGATCACAAATATTGATGTTCAGGTAGTGTGTTGCCTTCCTGTTCTCTTCCATCATCTTTATATTCTTGCACACACCAACATGAGATGGAAAGAGAAATATTCAGAAGTCAGATCACATACCTGGTACATGAACTTCACCAGATGGGAAGTATCATGGATGGAACAAAATTGAAGCAATAGAAAATGAGAATATTAGAGAGGAGGAAAAACCAGCATTACAACAGCCTTAAAGTAATTCTAAACAGTGACAGAAATAATGCCAGTTCATTATAATAATGCTATATTAATATAACTTTTATCAATGTAATTAGATATGACCAGAAAGGATTAAATGTGTATAAGCAAATGCAAATGCTTTATAGTAAAGAAGAGAATGCAGGTCATGCAGATGCAGAGCAGGAAATGTAAACGGTTTAGACCATGCAAATGATGTGTAAGCTGAAAAGCACTTCTACTGTTTTATTAACACAGCTATTCTATTCCTTTTACCAGACATCTACACATTTCAAAGACTGAGGGAACCTATGGAGCACATCCACAAAGCAACCTGGATATGCCAAGAGCTCATCCCCTTCTTTTCCCCCTCACACATACACTCCACTAGATGGTACAGAGAACTGTGGTGACACCAATATGCCCAAGGCATTCTCCTCAACTGACTTTTCCATCAGCCAACTTGGTGCCAATGCTGCTGCTTCCAGACACAGAGATGTCAAGAATGCAGTCTTTGCACATGCTGTCATGATTGTCTGTCTGTTGTATGGAACTTTCAGCACAGGACTTCAACATAGATCCATGAGTTGGGGGAGGGGGTGAGGGACACAGTTGACCCATAAGGAAGTGGGAGGACACAGTTAATCTTTACAACTAAATCCTGACTTGAACCAGGGTTATAGGCAGCAAGCTTTAACAGTCTATGGATGATGAAAATCTCCCCTTCCTCTGAAGAATGGATCTAGTGTTTGAAGGTGACCTAACGGCGTATACATAGGCAAGTAAATAATGTTTTACATGATAAGCACATGATGAGATTCAGCAACACACTAAAATGCAGGGCAAACTTGAAAGTGATTTCAGTTAAAAGTGAACAGAACAAATATGTATTTTATTTTAACCATATTTTAAAGTTATGCCTGATGTGTTTTAAAAATCATCCTTCATACTAGTCAGAATCGTATAGAATGACCTATCTAACCGGGATGAGAGAGCTAGTCCTAAAGCAAACTGGATCATCCAGGTGGATTCATATTCATGAGTTCAAAGTCTGGGCTGCATTTTGCCACATACTCACACACAGTTTCCATTATATGGGCAATCCTAAATCTCATATAAGAGCTAGTTTCTACAACACGTTTTTCATCTATGAACATATGTGAGCGCTGCCATGCCAGGAAAAAAAAAAGCTTTTGTGGTTTCAAATCCAATGTAATGTTTTCCCACCTGCATTCTTGTACATAGATTCCCCAGTAGGGGAAACGTTATATTAGAATTAGCAGCAATATAAACCAGTGGACATAAATGCCATTAAGAGACAGCTTAAGGCACTACGTTTTCCACTTACAAATTCAGCACTGAGACACCATAAGACATACCTTCTTCCTGAGCTTCTTCAGGTGATAAACATTGTAAAAGGAGGAGAAAGAACAAGAGAAAAAATGACTATTAAAATAAGAAACATGACATTAGAATTCCTCAAACTGTATGAGGAACATGGAATTGTAAAGGAATCAATACAATACCAATGTCATATCATTCTTACAGTAATAATGTTTGAAAGAACTTCCACCAACTCTTCATATTACTTCAAGATTTATGTTTGTTATTTTTAACAGGAACACAGTGTTTGAAATCCTTTTGCCTAGCGTAGTAAGTCATGCTACAGTAAGCTCACTGAATCAGTGAGGACTTGCTGTTCCAAAGTAAGTCACAGCTAGAGTAGGCTCCTTTGGTTCAATGGAACTTCCTGAGGAATTGCCTCATCAATTCCCCACTGACTCAGCAAGCCAACTCTAGTGTGACTTCCTATGTTAAGCAACAGTATTTCAGCCAATATGTGTGCTGAGTATACCAATGAGACAGTCCATATGAATGTCAGAACATAGGAATGTAACAAAAGGCCTGCTAGATTGGGCCAAAGCTCTGTTTAGTCCAGCACAGTGACTAAAAAGATGCCCATTGAAAGCCCATTGAAGGTAACAGCCTCATTTTCCTTATGCTCTTCAGCAACTCAAAACATGCTGCTTTTGATATCAGAGGTGACAATGTGGGTTGGCAATATCTACTTGTTCACGCCCAGAGTGGTCGACCAGACCAGATGGATGGGATACAAATCAAATCAAATCAAATCAAATCAAATCAAATCAAATCAAATCAAATCAATCAATCAATCAATCAATCAATAAATAAATAAATAAATAAATTTTTGTATCTGCCACAGATCCACTTAAGGGATGGTGGCCAGAAAACATTCCCCATGCCTGATCTAAAATATTTTGCAGTTAAACATCCTTCGCCTAACAAAACACCTTCCTTAGCAGATCCTCACTTGACATACACCTGTTAGATCACAAGTCAATGGAAAAACTGTGGTTCATATATGCTGAGAATCTGGCTTCTCAAGTAACAATGTGTTCTTGTGATACTACTTGATCCATGTCATATTTGTTTGTGTGTGTGAGAGAGATAGATAGATAGATAGATAGATAGATAGAGAGAGAGAGAGAGAGAGAGAGAGAGAGAGAGAGAGAGAGATCAATGGTTACAAATGTAAATCTTAAGGTATTGTGTTGCCTTCCTGTTCTCTTCCATCACCTTCAAATTCTTGAACATATCAAAATAGGATGGAAAGAGAAAAATTTGGAAGTCAGGTCACATACCTGGTTCATGAGCTTCACCAGGTAAGAAGTATCATGGATCAAGCAAAATTGAGGCAATAGAGAATGAAAATATCATAGAAAGGAGAAACAGCACGATTATAACAGCCTTGAAGTAATTCAAGATGGCATCAAGAATAAGATCAGCTCATTACAGAAAAGCAAGTTAATGCTGTTAAATATGAATAGCGATAAAGAAATGTGTCTAGGCAAAAGCAAAATGTTAGATCATAGAATATAGCATGATGTCGCTGGAGAGTTAAGAGAAAAATGCAGAGCACACAGGTGCAGGATAGGAAATGTAAATAGTTTAGGGCATGCAAATCATGTGAAAGCTGAGAAGTGCTTATTCTGGTTTACTGACAAAGCTGTTGCATCCCTTCTACCAGATTTATGGGGATAGGGGAAACTCATTGGGCACAATCAGCTCCACAGCGTAAGTGGGCCAATGGTTCATTGCCTCCTGTTCCCCCTCATTCACATGTACATGTTCTTTCAAATGGTATGGATGTGGTGTGATGACACTAATATGTCTCAAACATTCTTCACAAGTGGATTTTCCACTATTGGCACAGGGGACTCAGTATCTGCCTTTTTCGAGAAAAGGACATGACCGCTTCCAGCCATAAACTGGAGCAGAAACCAAAGAGATGGTGCTCTCCTAAGCTTCAACCAATGGGTCCACACTAGAGATGGGGGTATTCATATATGAATGCAAATATCCCCACACAGGGTGGAAATAATGAGGGTCCAGCACCATGGGGTCGGACCGCTGCTACTGACCCTGCAAAGGTTTCCTATTGCGCCGTTGTCTGCAATCGATTACCCAGTCCTGACAGGAGGCGGGATGACAAGCCTCTCTACTAGGTTGGAGAGTGGCTAATTCATTGCGGAGAACAGGATAGAAAGCCTCTGCTGAGTCGGTGGCAGCGGCGAAATCGTGAGTGGATAGTCCGACCCCATGGGGCCAGACCCTCGTTATTTCCATCTATGCATGGGTATTCGTATTTGTGTACGAATACAAATACCCCCATCTCTAGTCCACACTATTCTTTCAAACAAAACTGAAGTAGTACACATGGTTTCAAAACAAAGCACCTTGCCAGGAGATATCCTCTTTTTGTTGCAATAGACACATTTATCCCTCTGACGACCAGATATTTTTGACTGGAGTTAAATGTTAAGGGCCTAACAAACAGCACATGAAGTATACATTGGTTTCAGATCAAAGAGTGATGGGGTACTTCAAAGGATCAAAGTCTTCAAAAGTTTTTAGATGCTGGTAGTCTCTCTGTTGCTTTGGTAGCAAAAGACCATCATGGTTCTTTTCCTGGGGAATGAATTTATTGACTGAAGGTAAATCCACCCTTCTCTGCCTTCCCCATATTTCTCTGTCCACCTATTTTGAAATACAGTCAGTTTCTAACTGAGTAGTCATCTGGTCTGTGGCACCAACACAGTTTTGCCAAGGGAGATTAGTCCTTCTGTGTTAATGCCATTAGATTAAGCTTTAACGTTAATACTTTGCTTTCTCTTGTTCCTTTTCTTCTGCCATCACAAGATCCCTTTAATCAAACAAAATACATTTTTGAAAAGAAAAAGAGAGAAATCTAAAGACAACATCACATACCTTCTTCTGCTTCTTCAGATGGGAAATGCCATGGGAATAAGAGGCAGAACAAAGAGAGAGAAAATATTAATACAGCTGCTAGGACTTAGAAACTCTTTTGCTGGCTGAGGCTGGAGGGATTAGAGAAATACAAAGTATAGAACAGGGACCAACCACCTTAGGAGAAGACAGATGCAGGTCAGGCAAAGATGTAAATCCAGAAACCAGGAAGGCACTCTTCATAGAAAGGTACATGCAGATTAAAGGGGAGAAACATCTAGCCATGTAATCTCACATTGAAATTAACGTTTTTCATCCAACAAAAAGGAAGAAAGAACATTAGATAAGAAAAGAAAAATAGGGAAAGGACATTTCTTTCCTGAGAGAAGTAGCCTGTATTTGGTTAGCACCCTTGACAGTCTCTTTGTAAAACTGACAAGTAGCTGAAGATGGAGTTTGAAAAGTATCATCATTCACAAGAACCCTAAAAAATTACTGTATTTTTCTTGACTACCTTTATGATACTGCTTTAAAATTTAGGCAAATTAAGGAAATGCATTGGTTCTGAGCAACATAGTAGAAATCTATAATAACTAGGTCTTTATGGTACACTAACTATATTGCTATTTTTCCCATCATCTACATAACATAAATCTTGTCTCAGTATTTTCAGTGACAAAATATGATACTTTCTATGTTTTTGTCACCATGAGAAGGTTTTTTTTCCTTATCTCATTTTCTTCTAGGGTGGAATTTAGCACTACTAAAGCACCCCTCATTTCATTTCCAAAGTCAGAGCTTCCTAGACAATCAGAAGGTTTAAGTTGTTTGGTTAGACACAAAAGCAAAGGACAAAGCTTCTGAAGAGAAATTTCTTCAGGGAATCTGTTTTTTCTAAATATTTTTCAAAGGATTTCAACATTTCTTGGAAAAGAAGCAGAGACATTCACTCCCATGCTTAGAGTCCCCAGTCAGAAGCTTTCAATTAGAATTCAGTTACGCTTCAATCAAGCATAAAATATATATTTTCAAAAGGTCACAGAATGGAAGCTACAGGAATTTGTTTTTAAACTATTTTTTAAAGAGGGTTGCAACATTTTCTTAGAAAAGGCATCAGATAAATAAATATTAAAAGTGCACTTTGAGTGCAAATCCTGCTAAGCCCCATGCCTCTTTGCAACCAACAGGGAAAAAACTGGAACCAAGGGACAGGAACATTTGCCCCATCTGGGCAAGCCTATAAGATGTGATAACATTAAACTTGGAGGAAAATAACTTCCTTTTACTAAACTTGCAAGACACATTTGCACAATCATGTGTGAGAATAAGAAACCTATAAACAAAATGAGCAATGAAGACTCCCCGTTAAAATCCAACAAACAATAGATTCAGCTATGATGGACCTATACAGGAGGGATTCTTCTAAACTCCATCTTCTAAGCCTTTCTGTAAAGCTGTACAGGAACTTGTCAAATCATTAGTCAGCTAAAGATGATATACAAGATGATATCCAGGGAGTCTCATATTATCAGCAAGTATACTTTACTTATTGTACAGATGGTAGCTTGTTTTGAATGGAAATATTAAATTTCTACCACCACAAATTTGATTCTAATTCTGCACTTATGAAGGACAGAAAGTGAATTCAGTTCAACACAGAGTGGAACAATCAGATAAATACTTCAGTATGATGTTAGTTCTGTAACATGCATATAATATACTGTATGTCAAGATCTACATCTTGGGCTTGATCTGGCCTTCACTCCAGTTTTGAACCTAAAGTGTTTGGACTGGTTCTTTACATAACATTCAAGATCATCTTTAGCAGGCAATGACAAAGAGAGGGGTAAATGACAGGCAGTGAAAGAGTTGACTATCAAGGAATAATAGGGGGAAGAGATGCTACAGTTTGGGTGGGGTGGGGTGGTTACCTTCTTCTTCATACTCCTCTGCATTGAGATAAAAAAGAAAACAAGAAAAGCAGCAGAATCAACAAAATTGCTTAGCAATTGCAACACAAGGACCGAAAGGACTGAAGTGCACAGGAAAATTTCACTGAGGATATAAGCATGCTTACTTTATACAAAGCAGAAACAATACAAAACAGACAAAAATATTTCCATGGTTTTCTGAGAAATTTTAACTCAAATCTCTGAAGGCAACTGAAAGGGAATAATAACAACAATGAGCTGGGTGTTGTTCTTTGTAATAATATGAGATTTGGTGGAGATTGAAAAGGTACATTAAGAAATTTTAATAAAGATTTGGACGTGCCCTGAAATAAGATTCAGCCTCAGATTTCACCAAAATAACTTGTGTCTGTAAAACAGGGGTAAGATGAAGAACAATCCACAAACTCCACTCACCAAATGATTTCTGCAGAGAATAATGTTGTTCACTGTTGTACAGTTAGACCCATGTGATTGTATTCATACAATCTCCTAGGTGATGGAATGGGTTCACGGATCACTAAGTTAAGGCCTGATGTTAATGAAATTTCCTCTGTGAAACTCCTTAGTGTAATTAACCAGAGGCTGTTAAAACCCATGATAATTTTTTTTTGTGAAGCTGTTCCATCAATAGCAAAATCCTGGTGTTACTGTTTTTTTCAAAAATCTGGGTTTATTTCATTAAAAATATTTCTATAGCTGGGAAAAGTAACATTTTTGGAGTCAGTGTAGGCATCCTTCAGTCTCGAGAACTATGGTAACATACTCTGAATAGAGGTTTTGGAAGAGTATCTAGTGTGGCTGAGGCCAATTTGAGAGTGAAAGTCCCTTCCACACTGAAGACAAATACAATCTGTCCCCTGACAAGCTCCCTGATTTTGCTGGTTTTGGGACTGCCTCTTTGCCTCAGCCTGCTAAACAAGTGTCTCTTCAAATTGGGAGAGGCTATGCTGCACCGCCAGCTTCTAGAACCCCCCAGCCAACATGAAGACTGAAGGGGGATAGAAGATTGAGCGGGGATATGATAGCACTTTCCAAATACTTGAAAGGTAGTCATGCAGATGAGAAGCAAGATCTGTTCTTGATCAAGTCAGAGTGCAGGGCATGTAATAATGGGCTCACATCACAGGAAGCCAGATTTAGGCTGAATATTAGGGGGGGATCACAACTGTTAGAGCAGTACAACAATGGAACCAATTACCTTAGGAGGTGGTGAGCACTCCAATGCTGGAGGCATTCAAGAGAAAATTGGACAACAATCTGTCAAATCTGCTTTGACTTTGACTCCTGCATTGAACAGGGGGTTGGACTCCATGGCTTTATAGGCCCCTTCAGACTCAATTATTCTATAATTCTATGATTAATAGCCATGAGGTTTCTTGGCAGTTTTAATTCAAGAACTAACTTTTCACAGCTCTGTATATTTCATTTCCAGTAGAGGCGTCTAGTGTGGAATATGCTATCTTAATTATTTTTGGTAATGGAGCTAGTGCATAATATATAATAAGATATATTTTATCCTCCATTTCCTATGATACAATCTCTGAGGCTGCTGGCATCACATGTGAGCAGGGAGAAACATTCCAGATGAGGTTTATTATACATTCTCACCACAGCATTATGTGGGGGGAATCATTCTGACATACTATCTCCTTGAATTCTGCAGGAGTCCAATTACAGATTGGTTTGTCAATAAATCCTAAATTCAGCATACTAACCAAAAAATGATCCATTGGGCTGAAATCCTTGGGATTTTGTTCACATGTAACCATACTTCAGATCACACATCTAGAAAAGGTATTACGACAAAGCTCACAACTTGAGGTGCATGAGTACAAGCTGCAATTGTCTGTTATATTCTGTTACATGATATGAACTATTCCATCAAGTATTTTAAGCATAAAAGATATGCCTCCGTATAAAAGTCAGTGCTATATCGTCTTCCAATCCAACTTCACAGTTCTGTAACTCAGGTTCCTCATAAAAAAAGGGAAAGGCTTGTTAGACATTCATGTCATTGGTCTTCAGTCCAAAGAGAAGAGAAGCTATGTTGCCATGAGCAGACATCCAGTGCTGATAAAGTAATTTCACATTTGGCTCCAGTACAGAAAAGCCAGTGCCAACAGCTTTTAGCGGCTTTTAAAAGCAACGTATTGCTTTCAACAATGAACATGTGCATATTAACAAGCACAGAGTAACACACATACAATGCACACCTTTATATATATATTTGAAATAGTTGGTTTCCATCTATAATTTTGCATGAAGGATGTAAGATAGAGAACTATCTAGTTATTTGTTCCCCAATTGTATATATAGTATACATTAAGTACCTTAAGAAAGCAATGTGTTTCAAAATGCAAAAGTTGGAGTCAGTCTAAAAACAGAACATCTTTGAGAAGAGTGTCAAGACATACACTCCATGGGACTGCAGAATTTTACAGAGCTTGAAATGAATAAGCAAGACAAAAAAGAGAACTTTTCAAGGGCTCCACAGTTTAAAAAAAGGGGGCCACCAACAGTGACAGCTCTACAGGAAAAGAGCAAACTCAGTGCATGGGGCTAGATATTTGATATGATGGGGGGATGAGTAACAAGCATGGAAGATGAAATCCAAAAATGTGAAATAGAATGTTGGTTTTATGACAATGTCAACACAAATCAGAATGAGAGAAATGTAGAAAAATAAACAGAGTGCATATAGATTCCAGTCAGGATGCAGGTATGCTGCCATCTTTGAAGTCCACCACTTAGGCTCACTGATCCTAATGGGGGTTGCAGGCAGCAGCATTGTGCCAGTTGGAGGATTTCCACTTGCTTTTCAGTGGCTATTGGGCAAACTCTGTTTTGCTTGCCTCATGCTACATGTGCTGGCCATGGTACCAACAGGAGAGGGCACCGTTAGGTTGTGCATTAGGTACCCTTGTTCATGCCAAGTAGCTGCTTTATTCCACAGCCATCTCCTCTGACCAAACAGGGTCACAGACAAAATAGGGGTATGGAATAAGGAAAAGGGGCTGGAAAAAGTTAAGAGATATCTTCAAGACATAGATAATTTTAACTGAATAAAAAAAATTTAATATCAGATGTTACTGAGTACATTTTTTAAAAAATGAATGCACGTTCAAAAAGGAAATCAGGAAAAATGAAGCATTTTGTGGCATTTCATACTCACCCTCTACTTGCTCCCTATATAAAAGAAAGAGAGAGAGAGAGAGAAAGAAAGAAAGAAAGAAAGAAAGAAAGAAAGAAAGAAAGAAAGAAAGAAAGAAAGTTCAGACTTGTTAACACTGTAATCCAGTGGATGTTTACCTGGAAATAAATCTTACTATTTTCAACAGGTCTTACTAAAAGGTAACTACATCTGATTGATGCCTATATTCTTCTTAAATGTTAACTCTTGTCTGACTGAGTTGCTGCTCATAAATCTAATTCATGTTATACACTTTAACCTTAGCTTCAAAGTAGCTAATATAAAAAATTGAATTATCACAATTTATTCTAGTTGCTGAAAAAATAAACAATGAAAGTACCACACATTAAGCCTAGAGGCAGTGTATTTGAATCCTGTTCCTCAAATATTCACTAGCATCCCCCTTCCATTTTGTTAAAAAGCAAAGGTAACCTGTCAGTAAGCTAAAAGAAACCCATGTTGATACAATAACTTAAATCAGAACTTGTTTAACATCTTGACTAACCTGGAGAATTCTGTAGAACATAAAAGTCTGTGAAATATTTTGTGATTTTTGAGCTTGTCATCTTGTTATTCTGGTCCTTCAAGTCTCCCCTCAGATCTTAATTTCCTTGCAATGCTACTTCTATGGACCATTCTACCTTTGCCTTGCCTTACTGCTCCCCTGCCAACTCATTAATGTCACAGTTAATCTTCATTTTCCCAGCACTGTACTAGGAGGAACTTGGGAACTACAGGCCAGTCAGCCTGACATCCATCCCAGGCAAAATTCTGGAACAAATCATAAAGTGGTCATTGTGCAAGCACCCTAGAAAACAATGCAGTAATAGGTAGAAGCCAACACAGATTTGTCAAGAATAAATCCTGCCAAACTAATTTGACCTCATTTTTTGATCGGGCCACCTCCATTATACAGGGAATGCTGTAGACCAGTGGTTCTTAACCTTGGGTTATTCAGGTGTTTTTGGACTGCATCTCCCAGAAGCCTTCACCACCAGCCGTGCTGGCTGGGGTTTCTGGGAGTTGCAGTTCAAAAACACCTGAGTAACCCAAGGTTAAGAACCACTGCTGTAGACACAGTATATCTTGACTTCAAGAAAGCTTTTGACAAAGTGCCCCATGATATTCTGATTAGCAAGCTAACTAGATGTGGGCTGGATAGATCAAGTGTTAGGTGGATTGACAATTGGCTACAGAATTGTACTCAGAGGGTGATGATTAATGGGTTCTTCTCTAACTGGGAGGAGGTCACAAGTGGAGCACCCCAAGGCTCAGTGCTGGGCCCAGTGCTCTTCAATATCTTTATTAATGATTTGGATGAGGGAGTGCAGGGAATGCTTGTCAAATTTGCAGATGATACCAAATTGGGCGGAATAGCTAATACCCTAGAACAGAGGTTCCTAACCCCTGAGCCGCAGCCTGGTGCCAGCCTGTGGCCTGAGCCAGACCGGGCCATGGAGACAGACCTCTTACAGAACCCTGCACACACTCCCCCCACAGCCCCTTTGCACATGCATGCGTGTGCCAGTGCCCATGCAACAGCTCCCCCACCCTTTTGTGCATGCACACGAGGGCTGCCTCTCAGTTTGCACATGTGCATGAGTGCCCACGTGCCTGCATGAGCACCCTCCGACTCCTTCGCACATGCGTGCAAGTGCAAAGGGGTGCCCCGCCTTGCCCACCCAGTCTGCAGGGTTAAAAAGGTTGGGGATCCTTGCCCTAGAAGACAGAAACAAAATTCAAAATGGCCTTGACAGGATGGAATGAGAAGGATCTTGGAATTGCTGTAGATCACAAACTAAATATGAGCCAACAGTGTGATGTGGCTACAAAAAAGGCAAATGCTATTTTTGGCTGCATTTCTCTTCAGATCGTATAAATCTTTCGCAGTAATAGAAGTATAGTTTCCAAATCATATGAGAATCTAGTCCCCTTCTATTCAGAACTGGTTAGGCCTAACATCGGGTATTGTGTCCAGTTCTGGACACCACACTTCAGGAAGGATGCTAACAAATTGGAACAAGTTCAGAGGAGGACAACAATGATGATCAGGAGGCTGGAAACCAAGCCTTATGAGGAAAGTCTGAAAGAATTGGGCATATTTAGCCTTGAGAAAAGAAGACAGAGGGGGGAGTATGATAACAATTTTCAAATATTTGAAAGGCTGTCATACAGAGGAGGGGCAAGATTTGTTCTCGATCATCCCAGACTGCAGGACACGCAACAATGGGTTCAAGGAAACCAGATTTCAGTTGAATATCAGGAAAAACCTCGTAACTGTTAGAGCAGTGCAACAGTGGAACCAGTTACCTCGGGAGTTGGTGAGTGCTCCAACACTGAAGACATCCAAGAAAATCTTAGATAAACCTGGCAGATGTGCTTTGATTGTATTCCTATATTGAGCAGGGGGCTGGACTTGATGACCTTGTAGGCCCCTTACAACTTCACTTTTCTATGAATCTATGCCTTTGCTGGGGTTTCTTCTTTAAATTACTAATTGATATAACACACTGAATAGCCAAGCTGTTCAGTACTGATTGTTTTCTTTTGTCATTAACTTCTGCATTTCTTGTGCTTAATCTGCAGTTCTAGTGCGAATCAGAGAAAAGCTTCAAGAGTACAGTATATTGCTGCTGCTCATCCTTATTCCACACAGAAAACTCAAAACAACTGTCACACTATCAGAAGATTCAGTACTGCAGCCCAAACAGACAAACAGGGAAGCTGTCCAATAAGGAGGTAGTAATACATTACGGTCCAAGAGACACTCTTTCGAAGCTGTCATATTTGGAAAATCAGCATGCAAGGAGTGCCCCTTGCTTCCTGCTGATGACTAATCAAACATAAAGCATGCTAATTTGCAGCTTGTCAACTGTTAGAAGATCGTCACATGTTTACTTCTTCAATCAGCTCTTCTCCTAATTGCAAAGCTCTCCATCTCATTTGTTTTGACCTTCATCTCTTGGTCTCCCTTTGGTGTTCAGATAAAACCAAATGTCTGGATCCAAAAGAAGACAAGGCACTACATACCTTACACAGTATGCCAAAGTACCATTTTCAACTAGTGTCACTTTTGTATTATTACACTACAGCATGGTGCAGCATGTACATATCCTTTTTCTGATCAGTTATGAAGGTCATAGGATTCTCCCTATCTTATCAGTCAGTGAAGGAGTGCTTTTCTTATGTTCTCTCACTACATCACTTCCAGCTTTCTCTGTGTTCAGTCCAAATTACATATCTATAAAATTATACTCAACACACATTCCTAATATTGAGATTAATGTTACTACTTGTTAGGAAGGTGTCTTGAAAAAAAGAGAGGGTCTCCTTAGTCCCTGAATTTAGACACTTGGCTCTAGGAACTCTAGGTCCCATGAATCTGTTAAATTAATTGGCAATTTGTACATACGATCTTGACTGTGGAACAGAATTTTAGTCTTTCAATTTGTGGGAGCAAATGGCGCCTGTTAAAAAAAAATCACACACACACACACACACACAAACACACACACACACACACACACACACACACAAAGCCTTTTAATACCCAGGATCACTACTTACACTTCTTCGGTATCAGACATGTTGGCAGTAGGTTTCTAGATGAAAGAACAAATGAAAGGCAGAATAAGTGTTATGTTGCATGCATGTTTATCATTGAGAGGAATATCTGTAGAGCAATAGCAGTTTAACTCATTGTAAATGAGACTGTTTTAACAATAAACTTATGACAAAACCAATAACCAAACAGTATTTTAACCTGTCATATGCCCAACCAGAATCTTTCCTTTGCAACAACACATCATATGTTTAACACCCAGAAAAGAGTGAATGTCCAAGGCCACTTTTCAAACCCACCAAAGCATTTCCACACTGCTAATGCAGCCCTTGTAGAAACCAGTCCTATACCACGCCATGTAGATGGTTTCCAACAATGTTTAAAACTGGCAACAACCCAGTTTTTTTCTATCTTTACAAAACAGCAATAAAATTAACTACCACTAATAACAATTTATGCACAATGGCTGGATTCCTGTTGACATAATTACACTTGTGGAAGGGTGGTAATTTCACCAGCAGGGAGTGATTTTTGGTAATTAAAATTTTTCTTCTGTCCTGAAGATTTACTGACTCCCTTTTATCACCTAGAAGCTGTGGAAATTGTGGGACACAAGGATGAAATCTTTAATTACGAAAAATGTCTGTTGCAGATGACATTAATGGTAGGAGGAAGTTTTCAGTAAATACTTCCTCCTTCCATCCTGCAGCTCTCACAGCTTCTGTGTGATGAACGGGATTACACAGGAGCTGGAAAAGCCACAGAACAGAAACAATTACCAAAAATTGTCCCCCTGCTAGTGACTTAATCATCTTCTGCAAGTGTACACTATACAACAGAATGTTAGCCAATGCATTATATCGTTCCTTCCATATATATTCTCAAATCACTCCTGTAAAGAGATTTAAAGACTGGGAAATAGAGGCTGCATGTGGGTGGAGATGATCTGGCTTTTTACTCTAGGTCCCAGCCTAACATTCTGCCCTCTGGCCTCACTGATCAGACTTGCTATATGGAATGCAGTAGATATACATGATGGACATGTAGATGTATACAGACATTAGTAGTTGTTAAGTTTACAGGGTTTGTGTTCATACAGTGACAAATATGAGTATATCAGCCATGTTCTCATTTATAACAAATGGACAAAAAAAATGCCAGAACTCACAGGATTACTTGGGTAATGTCATTTGACTGGCTCTTGTATTTTCTACACTCAACTTTTATATTCCAGGTAATATCTGGAAAAGGCTGGAATCATAAGCGATTCTATTTTCACTTGACAACAGAAGGGCTTCCTCAGTCCCCAGCTGCAACAAATGGCTCTGCACAACTAAGGATGCCAGAGAAATACAGTATCATTTTTGCTCAGAAGGACTTCATGTTCCTCCATTTCATCAGCAGGACTTCCTGCATAAGCTAGGTAATGCAGAGGCCCCCATTTCCCAAAAGAAGAAGCATTTGGAACAACAACAGAGCCAACCCTTTTGTGATGACTCTTAGCTATGCCTTTGCAGAAACTATTTTGAAAGAGGCACAGAACCTCAAGGAGTTCAGGGATAAGCCCTGCAGGAGAGATGTTATCCCACAACCATCTAAATCCATGATGGATGGAGCTTTAATTAGAAAGCAGAGCTCCTCCTTGGGAAACCCAAGCCTTGCCTTGACTTCATTACTCAGCTGATACATGAGAAGAGTCTTGAAGGAAGAGGCAGATGGATGCGCGTCCTAAAGGAACATCTGTGGCTCACAAGGTTTCTATTTCAGAAGGATCCAATAATCCCAGAGGCAACAGTCCTGCCATATAAGGGATCTTACCCGGTTCCCAGGGACAACACTGAGTGATACCATGTAAACAGCCAGAATGGTGTGTGCCTGCACAGCCCCTTGCACTATGCTGGGGGACTCCAAAGATTCCAAACATAAACTCTTGACAACAGGACAGCAGGCAGACACTATTATTTGGTTTAGAGAAAGGACAGAGTGACAGCCATTCCTAGTGAAGAGAACGGGACAGATGATCCGTCAAAGTTTCTTTCCAATCTGTTTCCCAAACTGATCTTGTAAGGTTTCTGACCACTACATTTATTTGGACCTTTTAATGTTTCATGGATTTGGGATTTCTTTTCTTTAGACATAAAAAATAAATAACAGCTAGAGAGGCAGTATACAGGTTGCTGCTAATTTTGGCTCTTAAGTAGAAAGTGGTCAAAGACCAAGGGTATATCATCTGACATTGCTGGAGGGACAAATGAACTGTGAGTAAGTGGGAAGTGGTTGTGCTGCTCCTCAAAGTTTCTGATGCTGACCTGAATGTTCATTTGGTTACAATAGCAACTTAAATGACAGCCAGAGAGATGTGTAGCCATTCTCAACCTTTTTTTGGCCACAGTCATAAACACAATATGAACGAAATCAGGCCAAATCAGCATTGTATAAGTTGCTTAACGAACCTTATAAGGTGGTGTGTGAAGAACTGTTTCCAGTCTATGGCTCTCTTCAAATGTGCCACGGTCCCCCAAGAAGCCATATGGCCCCTGTTGAGAATGGCTGAAGTGCACTGAGAGTCAGACTAGGACTCAGAAGATATGGGTTCAACTCTCCTGCTTGACTGTGGAAAGTCGGGATGTGTGTGATACTGCTGAAACCACTCTTTAGACATGCCATATACTGTCACCTTGAAAACCCTATTAGGGCTGCCATAAGCTAGAATCAACTTAGCAGCACATCACAACAACATAGAAGATTATTTGTTTTTAGTACAAATACAAATTGCATCAATAGGAAAGCTATGCTCATTTTTTACAGATCTGATATAAGCCTTTTAAAAACACATCGGTTTAAGCAAATAGATTCACTTTCTTCCTCTACCAAAACTTTGCTGAAATGTTCCCATATCTTTTTAAATGTTTGGTCATGAAATTCTCATGAACAGACTGGGAATAAAACAAAACAGCTGAAATCCTGTTGCTTAGCAAAATAAGTCATATGAGAGTAGGCCCACTGATTCAATGGGGATTTGGTTGAAACAATTATATTTATTTATTTATACATACTCCACCCATCTGGTCTAAAAGAGGACTCTAGGCAGCTAATTTACGAAGTAAATTCCATTTATTCCATTTATTCCAATAGGCCTACTCTAGTTGTGACTTACTGTGATAAAGTAGGTCACAACTAGAGTAGGCCCATTTGAATCAGTAGAATTTATAGTGGAGTTGACTCACCAAATCCCAAATGACTCAATGGGCCTACTCTAGTATGACTTACTACACAAAGCAACAGGATTTCATCCAGTTTATTTCACATATAGGTTAAGTGAAATTGCAAGTGAAACAAACAGGACATCACAAACTGTAACAACACTATGATTGTACTATGGCTTGTACAATATAGTTTGGGAGCTATATTTATTAATAAAGTAATTTGTTTCTTTGACAGTATCTGCAGAAACCATTTATAAATATACATGTGCCTATGTATACTTGCAAATACATACAGGCTGTCTTCCATCACATTCATTTCTAAGATGTTTCTAGAAATGTCCATTAAACAAATATATATTAAATGAAAATTCCAAGTCACTTTTAGAAATTGTCACACGGGATAACATGGCACTGGCTTAGAGCCACTGTTCAAAGAAAGATATAAATAATGAACATTTCAAGTGTTGTTATAGAAGTAACTCCATAAGAAGTATGAGTAAACATCTGTATTTAAAACAAAACAAAACTCTGTGTGTGCATTCACTATGCACAGACGGCTCCATTTTCCCAGTGAGCATTCAAGCATCAAGTTCCACATATATATGGTTGGCACAATTAAGGTAAAGGTAAAGGTAAAGGTTCCCCTTGACAATTTTTGTCCAGTCGGGTCCGACTTTAGGGGGCGGCGTTCATCCCGCTCTTCAAGCCATAGAGCCAGCGTTTGTCCGAAGACAATCTTTCCGTGGTCACATGGCCAGTGTGATTTAAACACGGAACGCTGTTTACCTTCCCACCGACGTGGTCCCTATTTATCTACTCGCATTTGCATGCTTTCGAACCGCTAGGTTGGCGGGAGCTGGGACAGGCGATGGGCGCTCACTCTGTCGCGTGGATTCGATCTTACGACTGCTTGGTCTTCTGACCCTGCAGCACAGGCTTCTGCGGTTTAGCCCACAGCGCCACCACAATTAGGGGATGTGAAAGTTAGGGAAGATGAGTCATCCCATACTACATGTGAGTCATTTAAGAGATGTTTCCCTATAGGAATCTGGTGATCTGAAAAGTGTCCAGGCTTATACTTAATCTTTCCCACAGGCCACGTCTGACAACAATCCTTATATTGGAAACCAGAGCCTCACTAGATGAGGCACTAATTCCACACACTGGAGTGGTACTCCTTTAAGGGGAAAAGACTGTCTGTTTGTTCTAATGAATCTGGTAAATCAGTTTCCTTTTGATTTGCAACTGATCAGCTGGGAGGTAGCACTTCAGTTGCATAAATAATCTCTCTAGCCAGGAACAGACATTAAAGTAATAGGTGAAAGCATCTTAACGTTACAGAGGTTTTGAAATCAGGCTGCTTAAGTGCTGAAGACCAAATACGCAATGAAGGAAGCTCATGTGTATAGTCTCAGAGTTGAGAGAACCCTGTACTGTTTCACACACAATGCTCACACCAGTTAGGATTTTCCTTCTTCCAGTCAGGGCTATCTCTGAGATATGCTTTTGATCTCAAGCAGGTATCATGATTTGCTTGGCCTATCAGAGTAATATTGTAAAAGGAGGAAAGTATGCATTTATTCTATGTGTGATTTGGAATACCACTGGGCCCGACAAATGGCCAACTTAAAACATTTTGCTGCCCAAGGTTGAAGAGCAAATTGCTGTCCCAATCTCCCAAGATCCTCAAGACAAGCTATATTGATGCTTGTGACTGAAAATTCCACATATGCCTCCCCCTCTCCCTGGGAGTAAAAAGGCAGCATTAATAAATTAAATAAAGAACCATTTGTTACTCTCTCATGAAATCCAAAATCAGCTGCTTGAAGAAGTG